AATTGTTATTAATTACCATTAAAATAAGTCAATTTTGAACTTTTTAAAACTGATTCTGAATCATTTCTGTTTGCATTTTGATGCATTGAACAAGACCCCCCTCCCCCAGTCGTCCAAATCATGCCTGCAGCTAAATGAGATTTTTGCAAACGTAGACACTGTTTTGTTTGGCTAAGTGTTGTTTAGATTAGGTGTGAGGGTGACATGTATTATTGTTCTTTTGTTGTATTGTTATTCGGTGATTTTACAAATGAAGCTAATCGGTGCAGAAATCTACAGGAGTTATTGTGATTTTTACCAGCATGCTAATTCTGTTAGTTGAGGGCCACTATTCTGCAGATGTTTCTCTGCCCCAGCACTGTTTTCAGCCATTCAATCAGGTGTGTTGAAACAGGAAATTTCCTAAAACATGCTTTCAACTACTAAAACCTCAGTTCACTGTAACCTCTTTTTTTTCTTTCTTTTATTTATTAGGAAACCAAAAGAAGAAAGGAGCAAACTGTTTAGTTCTCAACAAGGCCAGTACCAAAATATAAACAAAAATAAACAATCAATGATAAACAGGGGTCTGCATGCTTCTAGACCTGCAGAAAAGGGACAACACAATAATACAACAGGAGCAAGCTATCACTGCGTCAACGTGATGAAGAAATATAAAATCAACATTGTTTTACTGAACAATTACATGATAAGAAATCACAGTGCATTAAGTGCCAACCACAGCCTTAAGAAATGTGTTGAACTTGCCCAAGTCCATACTTATGAGAGCGCCATGTGAACACCTGTGTGTGTGTACACGCTTGTATATGTAAGGTTTCTCTATAGGAGCGTCCAATAGAGAGTGTGAGGGGCCACAGATCTGCCCCCCAAAGATGTGTAGGAGATGAGGGGAGCTCCAAGTCCAAGAGATCCAGGAGCTGCCCCAGAGCACAGGTGCCCCAGGGAGACTGCGACCAGAACAGCCCTTTCCCCCCTCGAGAGGCGCAGAGGATTGCCCGGGGGGGCCACAACCAGCAGCCGGCAGAGTCCCGAGAGATATCAGCGGCAAGCCCACAGGCCGTCCCGCAGCCTCCCACCCCATAGCCGGCCAAGCCCGGGACCCAGCGACCCGGGACCCAGGGCCGACCACCCCCGCCGGGGACCCAGCAGAGCCCAGGGACCCAGATCCCACCAGGCAGCCACCGGGATTGGTCAGGCAGACGCCAAAAATCTTAAACCCCTGACCCGAGAGCCACAAACACTCAGGCAGACCAATGGGCCATTCCCATCTGTACCGGGTCGGCCCGGGCCGGGTAGCCCCAGTCAGCCTCAGCCTGGCCCGGTTGATTCCACACATTCTTGCCTTAAGCCCATGTGGGCTGATTCTACCCACCAATCAGAGGCTTGCTCTAAGGAAGGTGTGAATTTGCTGTCAGCAGTGGGTGTGTTGGCCCTGGTCGGCCTGAAGAAGACCCCCTCGAGAAGAGGGCTGAGAATGAGCCTTGGTTGGCCCGGAAAAATACCAGGCCACCCAGATATGTGAACAACCTACTCTACCCGGCCCGGGCCGACCCGGTACAGATGGGAATGGCCCACAAGGCACCACACCCACACCAGGTGTGGCAGGGGGAGGGGAGACGAAGATGTATAGCATCAAAAGAAGTCCGATGATGATCTGAGGGAGCAGGAGGAGAAAAATATGTGGGGATGGGGAGGAATGGCTGGTTGGCTTAAGCCCTCCAGGAAGCCAGCTCCCCCACTGGCCCCAATAGGCACCTCTGTTGCCAAAATGTCACCCAGGGCATGGAGACTCCAGCCCATCTTGCCAGGGCCCAAAGCAGCAGCATCACAGACCCTCACGGAGTCCGAGGGCACCAACCCAGCCCCACCCCAGCAGAATATCTGCTCCCATCCCTGCATTTGCACAACTTCCAGAATATATAAGACATAGGACATCCAGGTAAGGTTGGGTCCTTCCCCTCCTGGACATCCCCCTCCCCTGTGATGGGACAGCAGAGGAGCCACGGTCTACCTGAGGCCCCTGAGCTTGGGCCAGGCACTGCCGCATGTTCCCGCCTTCTTCCTGGCAGCATGCATATCAGAACCCAACCCTCAAGGCCCCGCCCAGATCCCCACATGGGCCCGGCCACCTCCACACCCCCGAGCCCCCAGGCCCCCGCCCAGATCCCCACACGGGCCCGGCCACCCCCACACCCCGAGCCCCCAGGCCCCCACCCAGACTTACTCAGGGGCAATGCAGCCACCAGGCAGCAACCCATGGCCACCGCCAAGACCTCCAAGGGGCCGCACTCACAACCGCCAGTAGTCCACCCCCCAAGGCAACCCAAGCACCTCTAAAGCGGGGCAGCAGCCCCCAGTCCCAGACACCCCCAGTGAACCCAGGGAATGTCCGGATACTCCAAACTTAGACCCTCCACCCCATCACCCACATCATCCCGCAGGACTATATCAATGACCCCCCATCATCGCTATGGGATGGAACCGATCAAAGGTGCCCAGAGAGATTGACTGACTTGAAGTGGAAGCAGAGGCTAAATCAAGTGCAATATGATCTAGCAAACGATTTCTTCACTGGTTAATGCAAAGAGTATCTCTATTTTTCCAAATTATGAAGATAGATTTCTTAGAGATGCATATAGCAGTCAGAACTACGTGAACAAAAGATGTTTCAATCAGGACATCATCCAGGTTTCCCAGTAAACAAAGGGGGGGGGGGGGGGGGGGGGGATATGACATTTCAGACACTTTAACAGGTCATCTTTTGTACGTTCTTGCTGTGTTTGTCTTCTAATTCCATTTTTGGTTCTTTTTTAAACACAGATAAGGTTTTGCGCAGCAAGGTAAAGAGAAACCTTATCTGTGTTTAATAAAGAACCAAAAATGGTACTTTGATAGGTCTTCACATACTCTACCCCAAAATTCCTGGACAGGTGGACAGGACCACAGTGCGTGGATGTATTTGTCAGGAACGTTGTTTGTGCAGTGTGTGCAGGTGTCAGACGACACAAACCCCATCCTGAACATCCGATGACCTGTATAGTGTACTCTGTGTAGAATTTTGTACTGAATTAATTGTAAATTGGGGTGTCTGATCATTTTAAGTTTTTAAACAAGTTTGAGACCAGAAGTTCTGGTCATAGCTGACTGATAGATCCACCTCCCATTTTTCAATAGGGATTGCTATTCTATCGTCTATTTTGGACAGTGTCTTATATACTTTAGACAGTAGTTTGGGGGGTTTGAGATTATAGAAGTCTAATACCGTTGGTGGTGTTTGTAATTCTATTTTATTGAGCTTAAATTTTTGTTTTACTACAGATTTAATTTGGTGGTATTCTAAAAAGCTATTCATATCTATTCCAAATTGGGAGACTATTCTATTAAATGGGATGAAGTCCAATCCTTCATATATGTGTTCCAGGTTTAGGATTCCTTTATTTTTCCAGTCCGGAAGGTTCATCATTTTATTATTTAGCAAAATATCAGGATTATTCCAGATAGGTGTGCATCTGCATGGTACTAGTGAAGACTCTGTCATTTTTAGATACTCCCACCATGCTGTCAGAGAGGTGCTGATATTAATACTTTTGAAGCCTTCATGTTTTCTTATGCTTGAGCTAATAAATGGTAAGTCTGAAAGCTCTATCGTATTGCAAAGTGTCTGTTCTATATCTAACCAGGACTCATCTAGTGGGTTATCTTGAAACCATCTTGGTATATATTGCAGCCTGTTGGCTAAGAAATAATTATAGAAGTTGAGTAAATCCAGTCCTCCTCTGTCTTTGGTTTTCTGAAGCGTTTTTAAGCTAATTCGTGGAGGTTTATCCTGCCAAAGGAGTTTAGTAAATTACCAGTTTCTATTGCTAAAATATATCGGGAGCTGCTTTCTACTGGTTTCAGAGCCACACTTGTCTGGTCTGTGATTCAGATTTGTACTTTTGCATCACTGTTGAAAGTTTTAACACTCGTTTTGACATCAAATATGTCTCACAGCTTCTACTGTTGGTGTTTGAGTTCAAGCCAAAAGTGTTTCACAACTTCTCTTTTTGTTTTATCACATTTCTACCCCCAAAAACAGTCGGAGAGACGTGGGGTTAGGTGTTGAATGTTGTGCGTTTCTCTCACTGGGAACTGGTCTTTGGTGTCCTTTCTTGTCATTGTCGAGGCTGGCTGAGTTGTTTAAAGAATGTCTCCTGGAAGATGTGACTCAGACTTCTGTGAGCTCCATGTGCTTGCTCTGTCACGTCCCCAAAGGAGCATCTCGCTGGTTTTTAAAATCTGCCCCAAGTGGAGGAGTTTAAGTATGTGGGGGTCTTGTTCATGAGTGATGGAAAGCTGGAACAGGAGATCGACAGGTGGATTGGTGATGTGTCTGCAGTGATGAGGGTGTTGTACCAGGCTGTGGCGGTGAAGAGAGAGCTGAGCTGGAAGGCAAAGCTCTTGATTTACTGCTCAATCTACGTTCCTACTCCCTCCTATGGTCGCAAGCTTTGGGGAGTGACCGAAAGAACGAGATCGCAGATACAAGCGGTCAAAATGAGTCGGGCTCTTCCTTAGAGATAGGGAGAGAAGCTTAGTCATCAGGGAGGGGCTCGGAGTAGACCCGCTGCTCTTCCACATCAAGAGGAGCCAGTTGAGGTGGCTCGGACATCCAGATAGGATGCCTCCTGGACGCTTCCCTGGTGAGGTTTTCTGGGTACGTCCAACTGGAAAGAGACTTAAAGGAAGACCCAGGACATGCTGGAGGGACTATGTCTCTCAGCTGGCCAGGGAACGCCTTAGAATTCCCCTGGAAGAGCTGGTCAAAGTGGTTGGGGAGAGGGAAGTCTGGGCCTCCCTGCCAGCAGGCAAGAGGGGGGTTGTGGCCTCCCTGCTTAGGCGACCTGATTCTGGATAAGCAGAAGAGAATGGATGAATGGATGGATGTCAGGTTCATTTATATAGAGAGAAAAATACTTGAGTGAAAATTTCAGGCTGATTTGTGTGTTTTGTTTTTGCAGGCTGTCAGCATCAATAAGGCCATCAACACACAGGAGGTTGCTGTCAAAGAGAAGCATGCCAGGAATATCCTTTCATTGTCTGTGTGATCTTCTGTGTGAGAGTAGAATTGTGTGTTTCTCTCTGTGTGTAAACTCTGGTGTGAAATGATGAGTGTAACCTCGTAGTAGTGCTCAAACAACCCCCCTCTCTCACACACACGCATGTGCGCACACACACACACACACACACACACACACACTCATACAAACAGGAAGACTTACACATCCAGCAGGAAAGGGTTTAGTTAATTTGTCAGGTGTGTGACCGGAGCAGAACTTTATTTATGAACCATCTAAGGATCCTTGACTGTCTGCCACCTTGCATCCTCGGGACCCATCATGAGAAAGGTGCCCACACCTTCTGGGCGGCGGTCAACCGCCTTCCTCTGTCCAGCAACGCCGTTCTCTGCTGGAAATTCTGCCACGTCTTCCACAAACTCCTGCGGGACGGGCACCCAAACGTGAGTAAAGACAAAGAGGACACGGGTAGTGTCTCTTCAGTCATTCAGACGCTTGTCTCTGTTTTCCCTGTGGTGCTCCTGCAGGTGATAAAGGACTCCATGAGGAACAAGGCTGATTTAGCTGACATGAGCAGGATGTGGGTAAGAAAGACGTCATCTCTAAGAAATTCAGCTCACAGATCAGTTTTAATATTACTAATAAGATGGAAGTTGATTAAAACATTTTTATGTCAAACAAGGAAATGGATCATCATCCCAGGCTCATTCTGATCAGACAGTCGAGCTAACGGCTAACAGGAACATTTACAACGTGGACTTTCACCAGTCTAAAATGTTTTTCTATATAAATCTTTACACGGTTGTTAACTTTATATCCTATATGTATTTAGACATTTTTTTATAATATGAAATTCCAATCATGTCTTTTAATAGTTAAATTGGAAGTGCTACAGTTTGCTAGCTAGCTAGCCCAAAAGCTCATGTTTAATCACCAAAGACGTGTACTAAATGGATATAATGTAAATAGGGTTGTCACGGTGTGAAAATTGAACCTCACGGTTATTGTGACCACAATTATCACGGTTTTCGGTATTATCACCGTATTTTGTAAAACATGTTACATTTTCAGACAACTAAATAAACCCTTTATATCAGGAAAATATTGTCCTCAGTTAGTGTCTAAATTTTGCCTAAAATTTGTTATTTTTTTATGTTTATATTTTTCCCCTTTAGTCTTTAAAATACCAATTTTTGCCCATAACTTCTTATTTTTTGTCTGTTTGATGTCATCATTTTAAAAATATTAGATCAGCAGCAACTTCAGCAGATGATACGGTGGCTGGTAAGGGTCACCGCGCCTACACCGCTGCCACGGTAATCCTCCGAGATGATATATTTTTTTAAAAACAAGATGGTTACGGTATTATTGTCAACTTTTTTACCGGGGTTTACCGCTACACCGGTTACCGTGACAACCCTAAATGTAACATGAGTCAGAATCACTATGGAATTATAATAATACATTTATTCGTAATGCAATAATTAGCTCTGATTTTGGCCCTGCTTTGACTAGCCATTAGCTTGTCAATTCTGTCAGAATCAATCAAAAAAAAATTTTGAACATTTTTAATTTATTTTTTTATTTAGGCAAAAAGGGTTATAATATAATTAAGGTGATGAATGTGTGGTTGTTTTACTCATTTTTTCTTCACTTATCTTCATTCTTAAGGGTCAAACTGCCAGTTTAAGTGTTAAAACCTCCAAATTAATGTTTAGTTTAATTTTAAAGTCTAAAAACACAATATTAGCTATAAATCCCTTCAAAACCCTTCTGATTTAAATGCACAGACGTGAGTAAATAATCAGATATTAGTTGGTTTACTTTATATTTGATACCAAAATGCAGCTTAGGTTCTGCTGTTTTTGTTCCTGAACTACACAGATTAAGTTCAGGTAACAAACCTACCATGAGAACTGAATCTGTGTGTAAAGAAGCAGTAAAAATCAAAATGGGTCAGATAATGTTTCTGAGTGTTCCGAGGAAAGTGAATTTAAGAGCAGCGTTTGGTGTTGGGACTCCGAAAGTGCACTTTTTATCTCAGCTGGGGGTGGTTATTAAAAGCACACGAGAAGACAGGAAAGCCCAGAAGCTAAAGGAAACTGTGCGATTTGTGTTAATTCAGGGAGTTAAATGTAAAACGTAAGAGAGCACTTTTAAACTCCAGATTAGCTTCTACTAACTCGTCACGTCGAGGTTAACACATGAAGCTAACAAGGATTATTACTTCTGGTCTTTGCAATCAACCAGAGCTCAACTTTAAACCCATTTTGGGTTAAAATAAACTGTTGCATGAATGTGCATTGATCCGAGCGCTAAGATTAAGCATTCGTTTACTGTTTAGACTTGCATGAACAGAGATCTGTTTAGCCACAGTGGCTTCTCAGTCATTTTTGGGTGGAGGCTGTGATATTCAGGGCAATATTTACTTAGTTTTTGCTGATATCACCGTGCAGTGACCGGGGGGGTTGTGGCCTCTATTTCCTGTTGAGCAAAACTCTCAGGCTTCAGAAAAAGAGGAAGTCGGAAGAAATGAACCAAATCTTTCAGTTTCTTTCACTTTTTAGATTTGAAAGGACATCACCTCCCCTCATATTTGTGTTTTGTTAATTTCCTTAAAATCCTGAAATACTTCCTGTTTTTTGCCACAGCTAGCACTCCACCCATCTATCAGCAAGGTTTTTTATTCTGCCTTTGATCACTTCTTCCCTTTCTTCTCCTCTTTTGTATCTTTCATCTTTCTCCCTCAGGGTCACCTGAGCGAAGGCTATGGGAAGCTGTGCAGCATCTACCTCAAACTGCTCATCACCAAAATGGAGTTTCACATTAAAGTGAGTCGACTCAGCCTATTAAACCCAGCACCAGCATCTCAGACGCCCCCTTGAGTGCCTGCATCTCCCTGTGGGGTGGGGGTGAGGGGGTGGATCCTCCTGCTAATGGCCTTTATGTGGCACTTTTATGAGGCAGCGGTGCTGATGCTGCCACAGAAACATGTGGCTCGTTATTGCTCTGCTGAAGCCTGGAAGTTAATACCTAGCCAGGGTGAGGGCAGCCTGGGGTGCAGGTTTCCAAGGTGCAACTAAGGAACGTAACCAGTAATGAGAGCCTGTGGCACAGGAGCCCTTTCATCCTCTGTCTGTAGTCAAATGTAAGCATCAACAATCACGAGAAGGATCACTGTACTTCAGGCGTCGTTAAATATTGTTTTCTTTCCTTTAAAGAGCCTAAAAATGGAATATGAGCAGGATTTTAATAATTGTGCATCATTCAAAACATCAGGAAGTTCACAGCCTTGTTCTCTTCTACTTTTCAGAACCCACGTTTCCCCGGTAACCTCCAGATGTCAAACAGACAGCTGGAAGAGGCAGGGGAGAACGACGTTAACAACTTGTGAGTTTCTCTGCTGCTGTTTCACCTGTTGACCTCAGCAAGTTTGATCTGCTGTAAGAGACCTAGGATTTTAATATTCATGACATCTAATGGAAAGATTTCACCTGAACTGTAACTAAAAATAAATAGATCACAGATAAAAGCAGTCTGACTGGTGTTTTTTTTCTGAACGAGGCTCACCGTGACCGAACTAGACGACAAGAAGGAAACGACGCTAAAAAGATTAGCCCCTTGTTTCTTATATGCCTTTTATTTTATCCTGTGTGTTGGAACAGAATTATGAAGTGTTTAAATGCTGAAATCCTGTTCATGTTCTCTGACTGTCTCTGTAGCTTCCAGTTGACGGTGGAGATGTTCGACTACCTGGAGTGTGAGCTCAGCCTCTTCTTGGGCGGTGAGTTATTCTGGATATAATGACAGATCAGCCATCTGGCTGATGGAAACAGACTGATGATGTCTGAATTTGTGCTACTGTCGTCTGTCTGAGTCACCTGAGGTTACAAACGGGCTGCTGGGATGTGCTCAGGAGGAATGATGGAAACCCTTCATGCTTCCGATCATGACGGAAGAGGGCGAAATTACATTCTGCTTTCCTTTTATCTCACGCTGATGTAATTACGTCTCCCTCCTCATGCTCCTCCATTCTGCTGAAACACGTTTACCTGCCAGAGTCAGATCTCTGCTTTTGTGTCTTACACAACTTCACATGATCAGTTTTATTAAACACGTTAATATGTGTACACCCAAACCTGAAAGGCCTTCTCAGTCTTCAGGTCTGGTGTACTTTAAAAGCACCACTGTGTGTGTGTGTGTGTGTGTGTGTGTGTGTGTGTGTGTGTGTGTGTGTGTGTGTGTGTGTGTGTGTGTGTGTGTGTGTGTGTGTGTGTGTGTGTGTGTGCGCGCACGCGTGCGTGTGTGCGCGTGCGTGTGTGTGTGCGCGTGTGCGCCTGGCAGGAAACCGCGCCTGCACTGCCTGAAACGAGGGGCGTAATGATGGAGGCAGAGACTGAGTCACACAATCCTGTCACTGTTCAGGTTTCTGCTCCATCATTGGTCCATTTCAATCTGGTTTTCCTGTTTTTCTTCTGAAAACACGACAGTGAGCTGAATCGTCAAACATTTTTTTATGTGGAAGTCATTGCAGAAAAACTGAGGTTGAAGGCTGACTGTGTTTTTTCCTTTGTCTCCTGGCAGTGTTTAACTCTCTGGACATGTCTCGATCAGTATCTGTGACAGCGGCGGGTCAGTGCCGCCTGGCTCCTCTGATCCAGGTCATCCTGGACTGCAGCCATCTGTACGACTACACCGTCAAGCTGCTGTTTAAACTGCACTCCTGTGAGTCTCATGCCAGCGCCGCGCCAACCTCACAATCATCAAGAGTACCAAAAGTCCCATTTCCTTCCTCTTTTCTTCATGCTGGACGCTTCACAGCATTCATTTAACAGCGTGGATCCAAAAACTTTGGGAATAATTTTTGATTCGTTTATTTTTCTCTAAACCTCTAATATTGCAATGTTAAAAAAAAGACATTAATTTTTATCATAACTTTAAAACTTGTCGACTTGTTGATAATTAGCGTTTTTGTAAATGTCATTCTTCCAGGTCAGGTCGGCATCATTTTGCAGCATGATCCAATCATCACTGCAGACAAAGTAGATGCTTTTGCCGACCCACTGCTAAATTATGTCCAACTCACAGTTTAAAGCCTCGTCACTGACAGAACAGAGCAACATCAAACAAAAAGGTCTTTTTAGCATCGACCCTGATGTGTGAGCTCTTGATCGATATCATACCTGACACCCCCCCCCCCATTGGCCGATAGGGCAGAAATGTCACCCCCTACTCTCATGTGTAGTTCAAACCAGTTTTGGTGCAGTATGCTGTTGATTAATGCATCAGTTAGCTATGAAATTCAAAAAACAACAAAATCTCCCACAGCAAACCCTCTCGTGGTCTGCTTCTGCGAACTGCTTGAGAACGATTGTGATTGGTGGTTCTCTAGTTCACATTTAAAATCTGCTGTTCTCCTGATTGTTATCTCAGAGAAGAAAAGGGTTTTGCTCTTTGGTTAATTTTACAGATTTTAAACAGAAATCGGCGTGAAAGCCATTCACCACAAAAACAAAATACTTGTCTGATTCCGTAAGCTGGGAGGATTTTTTTTTCCAGAAGTTGTTTGTTAAAAAGGTTTCTGCACTTATGACAGTGTTGTTGGTATGACACCTCACGTCACAGGCGAGCTGCTAAAGTAAAACTTTATAGGAGAGGGATTTTTATTTAGCTTTTTAGTCTCTGAGTCCTGCACGCGGGATGTTTGTGGATCCCTCAGATCTGAAACACTTGATGATTTTTGTCAGTTTAAGGGATTTTCTCACCCATCGGGCTTTTTAAAGCTTTCCCAACTTTTAATACATCCAGAACATCCCTTCAGAATGTGTTTACATGTGTGTGTGTGTGTGTGTGTGTGTGTGTGTGTGTGTTTTTTCAGGCCTTCCAGCTGACACTCTGCAGGGCCACAGAGATCGTTTCCAGGAGCAGTTTAAAAAGTACGCTTCTCTCTGAGGTCGACCCAGAGGCCTCTTGGTTCCACGCTAGCTCCGTTTTCAGCATCAGGAGCTTTGCTTTCTCGTCCAGCTCTTCTCAATTTCATCTTTCGTTTTCAGGCTGAAGAGCTTGTTCTATCGCTCCAGTAACCTGCAGTATTTCAAGAGGTTGATTCAGATCCCACAGTTGCCTGAGGTGAGGATCACTGCAGCGTTTTCCACATGTTGGCATCAAATAATCTGGAATAGTGGAGTTATTTACAAGAGCAAGAATAGGAATAAGATTCAAACCATTTAAAAACTCTTCTGGATTATTGCAGAACCCTCCAAACTTCCTGCGTGCGTCTGCCCTGTCCGAGCACATCAGCCCCGTGGTGGTGATCCCCGCCGAGTCGTCCTCCCCGGAATCGGAGCATGTGGTGGAAACGGACGACCTGGTGGACACGGACATCCCGGTTCTGCCGGTAAGTTCACCCTGGTCCTTTAGCAGCGTGGCTTCCCGACAGAGCCCTTTGGGAGCCGGTAGATGGAAGCTGGCTCGCGTCTCTGATAAACTGGGTTCTGGGTGGGAAATGAGATGGAAATAAATCCTTAGGACCCACAATTCAGTGAGAAGTAGCAGTTTCACTTCAGGTGGTTGAAGCAGCAAAACCAGTTTTTAAACGTTTTCTGTGTCTTTTACTGTCAGGCTCCCTCAGAAACCAAGTTTGACGACTTGTTTGGCACCTCGGCTGCTATCGATCCATTTAACTTCAACAGTCAGAACGGCATGCGCAAGGATGACAAGTGAGTTAATAAAGATATAAACCAGAAGGGATATAAACAAACACTAGTGGTTAAAGAACACACATCATCCCTCTTCCTGTTTAGTTTCTTTGCACATTGAAGTAGTTCTGTAAATAAAAATCTACCCAGTCGTTTTAGATGTGGATGTATGTTATCTGGGTCTGATTTCTGCACTGATCTGCAAATTCAGGCTCATTTCAACGCTACACAGAGCAAAGTTAAATAAAATCCTGCCAACAAATGGCAACAGAAGCGTCCTCTATGGAAGTGAGCTGGTCTGTCTCCACGATGACCGTTTCCAGCTAAGAAAGAGTCACTCGGTGGAAAAGGCATTTAAAGTTGTTTGTTTTTGATCAGAGACCATCTGATCGATCAGCTGACGAGGGAGATCCAGTCCCTCAAAGACGAGCTGGAGTCCTTCAGACTGGAGGTAACCAGAACAGGGACAGTAACTTTTAATAACTTTGTCTTGACAGCATTCAAAGGAAAATCTTTTTTGTGTCGTCTCGACTGCAGAGTGGTCGCTTGTGCCAAGCACTGAGGGGGCGTGTCAATGAGCTGGAGGCGGAGCTTGCAGAGCAGAGTCACCTGAAGCTGCAGGCTTCAGGGGAGAGTGAGTTCCTGAAGGCTGAGCTGGACGACCTGCGGAGAGTCAGGGAAGATACAGAGAAGGAGCAACGGTGCCTGACCGAGATTGAGAGTGAGACAGAGTTTAGATCCTGGAACTCAAGATGCCCAGCATGACTCTAGATTTTTACCCGTCGTTTAATTTTTATTATGTTTTGGGCTCCTGGTGATTTTTCCCTCCACTTCTGCATCTTAATCCCCACCAGGAAAAGCTCAGGCCAACGAGCAGCGCTACACTAAGCTGAAGGAGAAGTACACAGAGCTTGTTCAGAGCCACGCAGACCTGCTGAGGAAGGTGAGGAAGATGCCTTCCACTGATTAGAGGCTCAAACCTCTGTCCTGATTGTTTTGGGGACGTTGCATCTTCATCCCATGTCCTCCGGCGTGTTTGTGTCTGCAGAGCGCAGACGTGACCCGACAGATGACGGTGGCCCGAGCGGCACAGGATGAGGTGGAGATGGTGAGGAAAGAGATGCAGGAGAAGGTGAGGTCTGCTCAGGAGGCTGCAGACAGACAGGTGAAGATCACTGAATAGATTTAATGCTAGTTTTTATTTTTTGTGAATCCTCTAAAGGTTTTGGACTTGATCGCCCCTCCTTTTTTTTCAGGAGAGGGAACAGCTAAAGCAGCTCCAGGAGCTCCAGAGAGAGCTGGTGTCCAGCCAGGCGGAGCTGGACTCCCTGAAGACCACAATGGTCTCCTCGCAGCAGGTCCCTGCTCTGTTTTTCTCCGTAACTAAAAACAGGGTATCCGCGGGTCCTTAAAAAGTCTTTAAACGTCTTAAATTAGCTTTTCCTAATTTAAGGCCTTTAAAAGTCCTTAAAAATGACAAATAATCCTTAAATCCAGTTTCCAGAGGTCTTAAATTACCAAAGACCCAATAAACAAGATTCTTTTATTTCTATAAAAACTTCGTGAATTTCTAGTTAGTGTTCAGCATTTTTTGTGTATGACGTTGGCGGAACCGTACGCAGTCAGTTGGTTGTGAAAGGGGGCTATTTTTCTAGATAAACACATTAGCTGGTTAAGCTAGTGGGAGCTTGCGCCATGGGGAAGTGCAAGTTTAATGGTAACTGGATAGCTAATCCCACGTTCGTGACGTGGTTAGCACCGGTTCCAGGCAATAACTGGAAATTATCGCTTAAATTAAATTTTTAAAATAGCTTAAATTTGGTCAAAGTGGCCTTAAAAAAGGTCTTAAAAAGTCTTAAATTTGGCTCCCTTAAATCTGCAGATACCCTGTAAAAAGAGTCCAACAGAAATCATCTTTTCTGTCATTTAGTGAAAAATGGCATGAGAGCACAGTAAGATTAACCATACACGTTTATTTTTACTGGATTAACAGACCTGGATGATCCTAATGAAGTGTAAACGTAACGACCCGCCGGAGATGTTTGAACCTCTCCTGATCTCGTTCACACACTCGGCCTTCCTGCTTTTATAATCGAGCTTCGTGGTATTCTGGATACCCTCTCATAGGACGCTCTTTATATTTAGCTGTTTAAATGGTCCTAATCCTTTCTGTCTGTTTGAGTCACGGCTCCGTGATCGTGAGTGATGATTGGAGCAGCTGTGTGAAGGGAAATTACTTTTTGTAACCTTTTATTTTGTGTTTCTGTAAAGTATAACACGACAAAATGGTAAATGGCCTGTATTTGATATAGCGCCTTCTAGAGTCCTAGAACCCCCCAAGGCGCTTTACAACACAATCAGTCATTCACCCATTCACACACACATTCACACACTGATGGGGATGAGCTACAATGTAGCCACAGCTGCCCTGGGGCGCACTGACAGAGGCGAGGCTACCGAGCACAGGCGCCACCAGTCCCTCTGACCACCACCAGCAGGCAACGTGGGTTAAGTGTCTTGCCCAAGGACACAACGACAGCAACAGACTGAGCGGGACTCGAACCAGCAACCTTCCGATTACGGGGCGAGCACTTAACTCCTGTGCTCAGCAGTCACCATCCCTACTGTCTGCTGTTGAGTTTGTGCCTCTCTATATGTTTCCAGTACACACCACCTCCTGCGTTTCCCACTGCTGGTGTCCCACTTGCACTCCTGTCATTTATCGGCCTCTCCTCTCATCTTCCTCATCTCACATCTTATCACTGCTGTGCTCTTCTCTAATGCCCCAGCCTCACTAAAACCTGTTAAAAAGACACAACGTTTAACTTTTTCTTCATTTCTCCTTTCCTGTCGGACCTGCTGGCTCTCAGACTGTAAGTCTTTAAGTGATTTGTTTTTTATTTAAAAGAGGTCTGGTAGGCGTGTCCTCTGTTGGGGTGATTGTTGTGTTGCAACCTCAAAGTCCCTTTGGAGATTCTTGTGTTGTTCCACAATCTCAGACCAAAACAATGATGGCAGCTAAAGATAAACGTCTGTTTTATGTTGAGGTCAGAGCTCTGCCATCGTACCACACCACATCTTTCATCCCGTGTCTCTCTCTGCTCCTCGTTGCAGTCAAGTGAAGTTCTCAGCTCCCAGCTCGCCACCCTGGAGTCCGAGAAGGCCGAGCTAGTGCAAACTCTGTCCAAGGTGGAGGCGGAGCTAACGCATCAGGGGGAGGAGCTTCAACGAGTCCAAACCTCTCTGGCGACAGAGAGGGCGAGTGGAGTGAAGACGGCTGAAAGCCTGCAGAATCAGCTCAACGAGAAGGTGGAGAAAAGTTTTGCTTTTGCTTTCATTTTGCTTTAAGTCTAACGAGTGTGTGGTAAGGTGACAATTATGCATGTGTGTGTGAGTACAGGAGAGCAGGGAGCAGGCTCTGGAGAGCCAGCTGGTGGCGGCTCGCTGGTCCAGTCTGCTGGCAGCTGTGGAGGAGGCCGAGAGCATCATCCAGGACTCGCTGGCTCAGATAGACGACCCGGCTCACATCAGCTGCACCAGCTCTGCAGGTCAGACGCAGATATTTAAACTCTCTGCAGGAACGCCTGTCATCGCCCTGTGTGATCTTTCTGCCATTGTCATTTTTGCAGATTACCTTGCCTCCAGGTGCCACGCCTCTTTAGACAGCGTGGAGCGATTGCAAGGTGCCAGAGAGGTGTTTTTATCTGACGGCACATGTGAGTCAGACCACCTCTGAATGGACGGAAAGCTGCATTTATAGACAAGTGTATGAAGGTTTGTGTTTATGTTCTTGTGTTCTGCACAGCTGTGTCTGAGCTGGTCCGAGCGGTGACCCAGTGTGGCCACCTGGTGGGCGACATCATCATTCAGGGCAGCGCCACCTCCCACATGGTGCCGGTGGAGCAGGCTGATGGTGAGTCTGGAGAGGTCACTGGGTGTCCTGTAACCATGCTACTCTGGTTTCTGTGGTTAAATCAGCTCTGCAATAAAAAATAGTCCACAATCTCTAAACGTCAGAAATAGTTTTGGTAACTTTAAGCATTAAGGAAACCCGCATTTAAGTGTAAACACTACTACACAACAGTGAAGACTGGCATTATTGATGACACACACAAAACGGTTTTAGATGGTAGTTGGAGTTTTACCAGAGAAGAATAAAAGCTACTGATATATTGTAAGTATTCAAAGGATTTTTGAGGCTTTTATTGTGAAGGATTGAAGGAACCCCTCTGCGGGATTAAAGATGGAACCTTGGATTCCTTCAGGAATATGCATTTAGATGATTCTGTATCTTTTGTTTTTAATTGTCTGATTAGTTTTAATTTTGATTCTGTCTTTGTGAGTTTTATCCTTTTAAGTACCCGTCAATACATCCAGAACCCTTGGTTTCTAATGTAATTAAAGGTGAGGCTTGATAAAAAATTTATTTAATTAATTGGAGGCTTTGTAATTAATTCATCTTGATTAATCGCCTTTTATTTGCTCAAGAAAATTTGTCCCATGGCATTTATTTTTGTTGAAACATTTTTATTGACGCACAGAGTCAGACAAACATGGACATAAATATTGTGTGTAATATTGAGTCAGAAAAGGGTAGAATGCCTTCTCCGGGTCAGGGATGAGGCGCTGACACAAGTGGAGGAGTTTAAGTATCTCGGGGTCTTGTTTACCAGTGAGGGAAAGCTGGAGCGTGAGATCGATAGGTGGATTGGTGCTGCATCTGCAGTGACGCGGGCGTTGTACCGGTCTGTCGTGGTGAAGAGAGAGCTGAGCTGGAAGGCGAAGCTCTCGATTTACCCGGCGATTTACGTTCCAATCCTCACCTATGGTCACGAGCTTTGGGTAGTGAACGAAAGAATGAGAATGCAAATACAAATGGCACAAATTAGTTCTCTCCGCAGGGTGGCTGGACTCTCCCTTAGATATACAGTAGGATGAGAAGCTCAGTCATCCAGGAGGGGCTCTGTGTAGACCTGCTGCTCCTCCACATCAAGAGGAGCCAGTTGAGGTGGCATTTGATTAGGATGCTTCCTGGACGTCTCCCTGGTGAGATTGTCCGTTAACATCCAGCCAGGAGGAGACCTAATAGAAGACCCAGGACACGATGGAGGGACTATATCTCTCCGCTGGCCAGGGAACACCTTGGGATTCCCCTGGGGGAGCTGCCCAAGTGGCTGGGGAGAGGGCAGTCTGGGCCTTCCTGCTTAGGCTGCTGCCCCCACGACCCAACTCCAGACAAGCAGACGAACATGGATGGATGGATTAATATTGTGAACTCAAGCTTCTTTAATTGCAGCAAAAATACTTTTCAATTTTATTTCAAAACAAGAAAAATATATGCATACATACATACATACATACATACATACATATACAGTATTATAATATAAGGGAGAACCAGCACACCGCAGACCACGGCCTCTCTGTGTGAGGATCTAAACGCATTCTATGCCAGATTCGACACAGCGAACACCATGAGACCGGACAGTGAGCGCACCGTGGATGACGTCAGTGCGCACACTGTGTCTGAAGAGGATGTGCGGAGGTGCTTCAGGAGGGTGAACGCACGCAAAGCTGCTGGTGCGGACGGGATTCCCGGCCGCGTCCTCAGGTCATGCGCGGGTCAGCTGGCTGGAGTGTTTACACACATCTTCAACCTTTCCCTCTCTCTGTCTGTAGTCCCAGCCTGCTTCAAAATGGCCACCATTGTCCCTGTACCCAAATCCTCCACCATCTCCACATTGAATGACTGGCGACCTGTAACCCTGACCCCCATCGTGAGCAAATGCTTCGAGAAGTTGGTCAGGGACTTCATCTGCTCTGCACTGCCCGATTCACTGGACCCTCTACAGTTTGCATACCGCCACAACAGGTCCACTGATGATGCCATAGCCCTGACACTTCATGCTGCCCTGTCACACCTGGAGAAGAGAGACACGTATGTGAGAATGCTGTTTGTCGATTACAGCTCAGCATTCAACACCATCGTTCCATCGAAGCTGGACAGGAAACTGCAGGATCTAGTACTGAGCATCTCCCTCTGCAGCTGGATCCTGAACTTTCTGTCTGACAGACGCCAGGTGGTCAGACTGGGCAGCACCACCTCATCCCCCGTCACACTGAACACTGGTGCTCCACAGGGGTGTGTGCTGAGCCCTCTCCTGTACTCACTCTACACCTACGACTGCACGGCCACGAGAAACTCCATCATTGTGAAGTATGCGGACGACACCACAGTGGTAGGTCTCATCACCAACGACGATGAGTCGGCCTACAGGGAGGAGATCAGCGCCCTGACCCACTGGTGTCAGGACAACAGTCTCACCCTCAACGTCACAAAGACAAAGGAGTTGATAATGGACTTCCGGAGGAGCAGAGGAATACACACCCCCATCACCATCAACGGCGACGCTGTGGAGAGGGTGAGCAGCTTCCGTTTCCTTGGAGTTCATCTGGCAGAGGATCTTACGTGGTCAGTGCACACGGAAAATACAGTGAAGAAGGCACAGCAGCACCTCTTCTTTCTCAGGAGACTGAAAAGATTTGGCATGAGCCGCCGCATCCTCAGGACCTTCTATCGCTGTGCCATTGAGAGCATCCTCACTGGATGCAGCTCCACCTGGTATGGCAACAGCACCGCTTACAACCGCAAAGCTCTCCAGAGAGTAGTGCGGTGTGCAGAAAGGATTATTGGAGGTGAGCTTCCCTCCCTCCAAGACATCTACAGGAAGCGGTGCCTGAGGAAAGCGGGGAGGATCATCAAGGACTCAAGTCACCCCAGCCATAAACTGTTCAGACTACTTCCATCAGGAAGGAGGTTCTGCAGCATCCGGTCCAGAACCAGCAGACTGAGAGACAGCTTTTTCCATCAGGCCATCAGACTGCTGAACACTTTGCAGACACCTCACCCTCACTACTGAACTCCAACATTACACACTCCATACTGTACATTAATGCCACTGTTTTGCACATACCAGCCTCTGTATATTTTATATCTCTTATTTTATTGTTTACTTTATTCATTTGTAAAACACGTATATACACACTATACACACACGCACACACGTAGAACAATATATTAAAAAAATAATAATAATAGACTTGCATAAACATTTAGTAATGTATATACATTACAACTTATACATATTATTACTTAGACATTTTTATATTTTCCTATTTTTTACATTACTGTATTTTTGCACAGCTCTGTTGCTGTGAAGCTCACACACAAGAATTTCACTCGCATGTACTGTACCAGTGTACCTGCACATGTGACGTGACAATAAAAGTGATTTGATTTGATTTGATTTTAACTTCATACAATTCAAACCTAATTTTCATTGTTCTGTAAGATTTTCTTTTAGGGGAAAAAAACATGAATTTAAATCAAATATAACAGCTCCCTGGCCGCCAGCCACGGTTCAGGCACCAGAAACAAATACAGGAGAGGGAGGGGCTTTAGTTGTGTCTGCAGCTTTAATCTGCACAGGTGGTTCACCTCTCACACCCATCAGTGAGCTGTTGTTGGTTCCATTACTTCTGCAGATTTAAGGTGGTATTTTCTGTCATCTCAGTGCAGAACATGATGCATTAATGCTATTCCGATGCATCCGTCCTCCGTGTTTCTCTTTTCCAGCCCTGTCAGAAAGCATGAAGCAGTGTGGGACAGAAGCCCTGTCCCTGCTGGGACAGATGAAGCAGCAGGACACTCTGTCTGCAGCGGACAGCAGCAAGCTGAAGACGTCTCTGGCGGCCATCCTGGCCACCGCAGAGGTTCACACCTCACACTCACTAGTGCTTCCACTCCCCACAAGCTGGATTTCTGCTTTAATATTTGACGTTATTCCTGCGTTTGTTCCAGAAACTTCGCCCCCGAGGTTTGGAACTGCAGCAGGGGGAGCTGGGAGATCTGGTGGAGCAGGAAATGGCCGCCACTTCCGCCGCCGTGGAGTCGGCGGCAGCCAGGATAGAGGTGAAAAACTGCATCTGTGTGTGTTTAACAGTGGTCGTCACATAGAGCTGTACCCGACTCCATCTCACCCCTCTCCCTTGTGTCCGAACAGGAAATGCTGAACAAGTCTCGAGCGGTTGATACAGGAATCAAGATGGAGGTCAACGAGAGGTAAAACACAGATTGGAGCCAGATTGAGGAGCTGCAGAGAATTTGTGTTTTTGTGGATCATAGTTCCAGAAACGGATTGAACGCAGATCTGATTATAGGCTGCAGATAAAAGTTGGACAAAGAAGAAAAGAAGTCAAACTTTTCAAGTCTTTTGTTACTGTGATCACTCTCAGCTACATCCGTACAGCCTTCCGTTTGAATAAAGCATCAAATCAGGCTAAAACCCGAGTTATTTATGAAAACCTTTATTTAGTCGAGGTGTTTGTTTGAAGTTAAAGTCCTATAGTCATCATCACACACTGGTGGACCCATCCCCGTGGGTAGCGGTGGCTGCGTTCGGGAACTATTTGGTGGTTTAATCCGGTCCCTTTAAAGCTGAGTGTCAAGCAGGGAGGCGTTGGGTCCCATTTTAAAAGTCTTTGGTTTGACCTGACCGGGATTTGAACCCCGATCTCCTAGTCTCCGGGTGGACACTCTAGCTACTTTCTAGCTGCATTTTACAGATGCTCATTATATGAACCATTTTTCTTTCTAGTTCTCTTGTTAAAGCCGCACAACGGCTACATAACTAACTGAGAAGTTAATTCTGAAGCATTTCTACTGATGAAGTATTTTTTAGCTTAATTATTTCTCTAACTAGAAGAACTTTTACTCACTAAATGGGTCTTATGAGTGTTTGTGAAGTGGCGGCGCCTGTGGAAGTCCGTTTTCACTCCTCTCCCCTCATAAGTTAATATGATGCCGTTCATTCTTTGTGAACTGAAACGTGCACCGTGTGCGATGAGTCACCGCTGTGGAGGATAACAGTAGTTAGTGATGTGTCTGCTCTGTTTCTCTGTTTTAAACTCTCTTTTTGCTGTCAGTGTGTGTTAAACTAGAGAAAGCCTTCATTGGATGTAGTTTCAGCATCTAAACTCTGTCGCCCCCTGCAGGATCCTGGCTTCATGCACAGAGCTAATGCAGGCCATCAAGGAGCTGGTTCTGTCCTCTAAAGATCTGCAGAGGGACATAGTGGAGAGTGGGAGGGTGAGCGCTCCTGATTCTCATACATCACTGCAATATGTTTGTCAGGACTGAGTTTCTGTTGTGTAAAAGAACTCCTGCTTTACGTGATGGTCCCGTAGACGTTAGGTGGCTCATGTTTGACTGTATGTCCACCAGGGAGCAGCATCCATGAAGGAATTTTATGCCAAGAACTCCCGCTGGACTGAGGGCCTGATCTCTGCCTCCAAAGCAGTAGGATGGGGCGCCACGGTCATGGTGTAAGTACAAAAGCAAGTATAGTAATATAAAAACACCGTTTTATCCAGCAACATGTAAACGAGTTTGCTCCGTGTTGCTGCAGCGATGCAGCTGACCTGGTCGTGCAGGGCAAAGGGAAGTTTGAGGAGCTGATGGTGTGCTCACATGAAATCGCTGCCAGCACGGCGCAGCTAGTGGCTGCTTCCAAGGTCAACAAAGACGATCGCCTTTATTGTTCTATTGTTATTACTGTGGTGTTTTAGTGGAGGTGTGTTCGTCACTGCTGTCTTCCTTCCAGGTGAAAGCAGACAAAGACAGCACCAACCTGCGCCGCCTGCAGCAGGCGTCCCGTGGCGTTACCCAGGCCACCGCGGCGGTCGTGGCCTCCACCAAGTCTGGGAAGTCCCAGATCGAAGAAACAGGTGAGGGAGGTGACTGAGGCTAAGCAGCAGCTGCGTCTTCACCTCTTATTTGTTGTTTTTAGCTTTTTTTCAAGAAGCATTTACATATCTGGTAATGAATTCAAGCCTTTTCTTTTGTGTTTGCAGAAACGATGGACTTCTCCAGCATGACTCTCACACAGATCAAACGACAAGAGATGGACGCACAGGTGGACAGCAGGACGAATGTGAGCCAAAGCGTCATTAATGCAGAGTCTTGAAAGCTTGTTTTTCCTCTTCAGGTTCTGGTTCTGGAGCTAGAGACCCGTTTGCAGAAGGAGCGTGAGCGTCTGGGTGAGCTGAGGAAGAAGCACTACGAGCTGGCTGGCGCATCGGAGGGCTGGGGCGAGGAAGAGGATGGTACGGACCTCACAGCGAAGGATCTTTAAAGATATTTATACATATTAAAGTTTTACCCTCCTCTTCCTCTTCAGGTACAGGATGAGGATGCCGTCCCGGATGCTGCTCCTCCGGCATCTTCTCTTTTATTTATAGACATGCTCTTCTGTCTCCCTTAAAGTTTTGATTTCATCCGTTTTCTCCGTGAAGCCAAATGAAACTGTGCTTCTTCTCTGATCCCGTCACTCTACCCCTGTCTGCACAATTTCCACCTAAACACCCCCTCGCCCATGGCTGAGCGGCAGGCGGGGTCGGAGGCAAAGAGGATGTAAGGATGCTTCTGATGGAGTTTCCTTCTCCTGGTGTGTGATGAGTCACAGCAGAGACAAAGCCGTGCCTCTTCGGTGCTCCTGCTCCTCCTGGTTTTATTTTATTTTTTTCTCACTGTGACCTTCTGAAGTCCACGCCGCTCCACAGGCTGCTTTTTTGGACTTCCTGCCTTCTCATGTCCTCATCATTGCGATGACCATGACTGTTAATCCAAGCAGCGCCCTCCACCTCCCCTGGTTTTTATTTTTACTTTATCAAATCATAACTCTTAAAATGAGCTTTTAGGCTGCCAACGTTCCTCAGCTACATCCACAGAGGTGGTGCGTCATGGGAAGGATGACTCAGAACACTAATCAGCTTAAATGTCTCATTTTTAGTGAATAATTTATGTAGCAGGGTCGCAAAAGGAAACCCTCAGTTATTAGATTTTTTAAAAAGTTTCTTTGACTCTTCTACAAATCAAATTGCATAAGACCCTTCAGATGATTTATTTTGGTTTTTAAGGAGGCAACAGCTCGCCTTTAGTTGGATGAATATTTCCGTTTTTGAAAATTTAAATATATTTGGAGTTAAAGGCACTTCCTCTGTGCACAAACTGGAAGATCTGACATTTTCCCAGATTTTCACAAAATCATTGGATTCCAGCAGACTGATGGCGACAGAGCAAGAGGATGAGCCACGTTCTCTTGGAAAGAACTGCTTCATTTTGATCCCAGAGCGTCTCTGTTTGCTTGGAGTAAAAATCATGACGCACCTGAAAGCCACACATCTTTTCTTCCCTGAAAATGTAATTATTAAGCAGTTTAGGATGAAGTGACTTAACATAAACAGCTTTTTGATACATGCTGCTGAGCATTCACCGGTATTTCTTCCACTGACCATGACATTTAAAGCACTTGGAGGACGACGGACTGTTCTGGGGGGACCTAAAGAACATGAACTCTGAAATGTTTTTTTTTCTCTGTCACCATGTTCCTGCTGCTCCAGCCGGGTTAAAGCAAGCATCGTCTGCAGTTGATCTAACCGTTCTGTCTCTTCCTGTATTATAAACAAAAGTGAAGAATTTTCAGGTGTCTGGAATGATGAAGTGCACACACCGTGAGTGATTTGTTTGTGTGTTTTTGTCCAAAAACTCTTGAATTAACCTTTTGTTTCTTTTGGGTTCGTGTCTGTAGTCGTACCAGCTCAGCCAGCCTTTCAAACTGCCTCACACTAGTCAGAAACAGATACTCGCATAGCAGCATTGAACTATGTCTTTGTATGATATTATACTAAAACAATGTTGGTGGGTTTGTTTTTATTTTTCCAGTTTTTGAAATAAATACATCAACTAATTGATACGGACGTGGAGAGTTTCTGTGGGTTTCTGCAGCGAGAGGTTTCTTAAATGACCCGAGTGAGGCTGGAATTTTCCAGAATGCGTAAACAGATGACAGAACAGTTCTGATTGACCTGATGGTCCCTCTCAGGTGAGCATCTGTCAATCACCTAAATTGGGGAGGTGACATTGGCACAGGATTTAAGTGCTCGCCCCGTAATCAGAAGGTTGCAGGTTCGAGTCCCTGGGCAAGGCACTTAACCCACGTTGCCTGCTGGTGGTGGTCGGAGGGACCGGTATCGCCAGTGCTCGGCAGCCTCGTCTCTGTCAGTACGCCCCAGGGCAGCTGTGGCTACATCGTAGCTCATCCCCACCAGTGTGTGAATGGGTGGATAACTGATTGTGTTTTGTAAAGCGCCTTGGGGGGTTCCAGGACACTAGAAGGCGCTATATCAAATACAGGCCATTTACCATTTTACCATTTAAATGCCACCCCACCCCCCACTGCCACTGATGCAAAGATGAGTAAATAAATGCTAAAACCAGGGCTGAGATTACACAAATCCCTAATCTGGGCTGAGTTGGGTCGTCTGATCCTTGAGAAAACACACGTAAAACATACAGCAATGTTGAGGTGAAACTGCAGCTGTTAAAATGAAGATTTGCCCAAATGTAAAAGCTTACATTTCAATCTGATGTGTTTTCAATTGTTAAAGAGATGATTGGACATAAAGCTGTAGATGTGATGAACGTGGGTTAGAACATCTGTTAGGCACGGTGGAGGCAATATTATGATATGTTTTTTTTTTTTTTTGCTACTCAGGAATAGGCTCGACACAGATGTGTTTATAAACAAAAGTACCAAAATTAACATGGTTTATGTCAAAGAGGGCTTTCCTACATTTAGCGATTCCTTTGGTGCAAGTATTCACATTTCATGTCTGATTTTGTCATGTTTTGATTCAATAGCTGGACAGTGAAATAATTGAACAAGTGACAGACACTATTTTATACATTCTCCTGCTCCACCTTTGGCCAGCATGGTGAGATAATTTACAGGAAATTCTTATAGGAATGCTATTTAAATATAATCCAATATTTTTGAAGCAGCTCTGCTGGTTGAAGTGTTTTGCAGCCGGCTCCTGCAGTGAGTCGGAGCCGTGTCTGCAGAGTGCTTCCAGAGCTGTGGCATCTCATTCATAATGCTGAACTATTTATAGCCTCTGCAGTCCAGAGCAGGATGGCCTTACAGCAGGTCTCCTGGCAGCAGAGTGTGGGCTTGCCTGATGATCCAACAGGGACAAACAACTCTCACCCCAGCAGTCTTACTGGAACCAAACATGCAGCTCCTTTCAGGTATTTTAACAATGTTCCTCATTAATAAACCTAATGCAATAAAACATTTACCATACAACTTTCTAATCAAATTAGGATTACATAGTAATAAAACATTTTTACCGTGTCATTTGGTTCTATTGCACCATTTTATTCATACCAGGATTTTGAACAGCTCCAGATCTGGAACTGTAACACCAGAGCAGGCCTGAAATCCAAAATAAATAATCTTATCTTACATAAGTTTTTTTTTTCTGGCCGCAGCATTTCAGACCCATAAACCATGTTTATGTAATCATTTGATAGTAGCAGGCTAGCAGCGCAGTATGGTGGGAGTTATGGATCATGCAAGGATGCTTAGTTTGGTTTCTGTTTGCCTCCTGAGCAGCACCAGAACAAGCTTGGTAAGGATTCAGGTAAAAAGGATCACAAGAATGAGAATAACTTTACTTATGCAGCACCTTTCAATTCCACATACTGTAACTGGTATTGATCTTTAACCTTTAGTTTTCAGCCTTATGCCAGTAGGCCTTGATCACATGACTTCAGAGATATGTAGGATCATGCAAACACAAGATCTAGTCATATACTTTGGAGTGGGTGAGGGGTCGATGGAGCAGGAAGAAGAGCGTGTGAAGTGAGAACTTTGATGATTTTGTCAGAAGTCTGGAGGCACAACCAGACGGCCCTGAAATGATGCTACTGGTGGTTCCAATTGTTTTCCACCTTGCTGCCTGCAGCCTTTTCCAGATTTGTCAGTGTTTGACAAAAGCTGCGGACTGAGAAGAAAGTTCGCTATGAAGTCCGCCAATGTTGCATTGTGTTGGGTTTTTGTGTCTGGTCACCACCCCACTAATACAAGCCCAGACACTAGAGCCGTTTCTCAGTTGTAATGGGGAAAAACACCCAAACCATGTAGAGCAGAGTTGAGTCAATGCAAGCTGTGCTGAGCAGTGGAAAAACTCAATAAAATTTGTAATCCTAAAGCATATGCTTCAAATGCAACTGGGGGTCCCACTAAATCCCACTGAGAGCCATAAAAAGACCCAGAGAAGCAGTTTGGGCCATGGTCAAAGTTTACCCCAAGATTCCCAATGGAAGACTTGACATATGAGGCTCGATGACCCATAGCCTCATTAGGCTTGATTGAGATGAATAACCAAATGTCATCTGCGTAGCAGTGATATAAAACATCAATGAAATGCACTGAAGGGAGCATGTAAAACAGAAACAACAAGGGCCCCAAAACCGAACCCTGAGGTACATTGCAATGAAGACGCTTTAACAAAGACCTACAACCTAGAGCAGCCACACTAGCTGAGTAATAGGAAAGATTAAAGAGTCTGAGATGATTCAGGAGCTGTTTCTAGACATGTGGGTGGTTTAGAAGATCGGCATAAAGATGAAGAACCTGGTTGTGAAGTAACAGCTACATCTGAAAAAACAGGCAGCTCTTTCAGCCATTAGTGTAATCACTCGGACCAGCATCGCTGAAGACCTTTGAGTGGGGTTTTGTGCCGGCCTCGCTCATTGTACTCCCGCCTGACACAGATATGAGGTCACGACATGAACAAGAATAAAGTCTTTCCATCTCTGCAGAGACCTGCGGGCTAAGTAAACAAAAAGAGCACTTTGCTGCTCCCAGAGGCCAAAGATACCATTAAACAACAAAAAAAGATACTTCCTATTGATTACCAATATTCCAACAAAGGCTTTCTGTTTGGCAGGAGTAAAAGATGTTGTTCAGTAAAGGGTTGAAGCAATGTCTGGTTGTGCTTTACTGCTACCAGTCAGCAGCCTTGGAGGAAAACGATAAAACCTTGTTTTTGTTTTTCAGCTGGAAACAAAATTAAAGCGATTAATCAGGGCGGGTGGTTTCATAACATATCCAGAAGCTGTTATCTCTGCTGTGTGTCTTCTGTGTGTGTCTGAGTGATGGATGGCCGCTCTGGGGGCCATTTAGATGCGTCTGTATGGCCACGCTGATAATCTGTTGTGTTTCTGAGAGGAAGATGCAGCCACAACAAATAAATTGGTTTTATTATTAATTAATGTCACTTTTTCCTTTCATTCTTTTTGTAAATGTTGTTGTTGGCACAAGAAGGTGAAGCTGGAGTGTTTGTGATAATTAATTAGAATTCCTGTGCCTCAAGCGCTATACATTTTTTGTCTTTGTTGCTTTTCTGTAAAATTCCACTTTTTAAAATGGACGTAAACACCTTTTACATGTTCAAGAACAACGTAGACCTTTGTTGGTTTAGTTAAAGCAGAGTTTTCTTCTCGAAAAGCCAAACTTTCATCTTTATCCAGTTGGAAAAGGCGGAGAGGTTATGAAGAATTAACATCTTACCTGCTGTGGATAGCTCTCTGAATAGCTCTAGTTTAGAGAAATAGAGATCATCTGAGACTATTTAAAACATTTTCACATGTAAATGTGTGTCTAGATGTGTCACACTCACATGACAGCACAGAACTTTGTAAGACCAAGTTTTTCAACACATTTGCAGTGGTATGCAGTATAAATGAATGCCTTGAGAGTTTATCTCTGGGGGGAACTCTTGCTCCTGTTTCAGGAAGTTGATATTAGCCATTGGAGAGGGGAACAGGACACAGCTGGATTTGGAGTCTTACTTTTTTGGACATCTGGCCTCTGTTTGGCTAACAGCAATGCAACTCTTGCACTTAGCTTCTGCTCGCCGAGACGTGCTCTTCTCTCTCCTTGACACTAAACCAACAATGGTCTTCCCCGTCGCAAGCCAAAAATGCTGATTTTCTGTGTGATGTATATTGAATGGCTATCTATTCTTCTATCAGTGGCTAATGCAGGAAATATGGGTAGAAGACTCTTTTCACATTCAGCCCGCATGTTAAAGAGACAATGTGTAGTTTTTACCATTAATTTCTGGAAATATCCATCAAAATGTTGTTAAAAATGAATGAAATGATGCCCAGTACCGGGTCTGATCCTTTGATCCACCGTGCCAGGGGGGATGTGGTGGCGGTGATCGGGCCGGTGAAAACTCAGCAGCTGATCAATTCAGCCCTATCTATCTATCTATCTATCTATCTATCTATCTATCTATCTATCTATCTATCTATCTATCTATCTATCTATCTATCTATCTATCTATCTATCTATCTATCTATCTGTCTGTCTGTCTGTCTGTCTGTCTGTCTGTCTGTCTGTCTGTCTGTCTGTATGTATGTATGTGTATATATATATATATATATATATATATATGTATATATATATATATATATATATATATATATATATATATATATATATATATATATAAACAATTTTAAACAAAATAAACCAAAGAAGGGATGAGTGAAATGTGTTCATGACACTGACATGACACTAACCATAACCAAAAACAGTGTTCTTGATTGATATGCAGTAAACATAACAAAATACCAATAAAGTAATAAATATTATATACATACATAGTTATATATGTCTACATAGGAATTTGTAAATATGTATCATAAACAATAACAACACTAAGAAAATAAGACAAAAACAAAAACAACAACAAAAATCTGCAAATGTGATGCAATCCAATATGGCTGCAACCTGATGATGTCATAATATGCAAATTATGTGAGTGAATTTGTTCCTATCACAAAATTTGGCTCATACTGAAGATTTTTCTAATTTACAATATTCCTCTATCTCTAACCAGATTTAAGCTACAAGCTCTTTAAATAGTGATATAAAAAATTTATATTTTACTGAAAATAACTATGGTGCCTAAAGGGTTAACACAAAACCATAAAAATCAGGTCTAAAATTCATGGGAGCTTGTCTAAGTCTCTGGACGATGCTATGTTAGATGCCATGTTTCCTCCTACAGGAGCCCATGAGGACAAGAAGCATTTACTGATTTGTAACAAACAGTTACAAAATTTTTGTCAATCTTAAATGTTGTTGTTTTACACATTTCTCTTCACTTGTTGCCAGTGATGAAAGGGAGTCTGATGTGCTCGTTATTTTGCTAAAGTTTGCACTCCCCAGGGCTTTTTGACCCTAATGGGCATCCCTTGGTAAGGTCTTACTCCAACACAAATATACTGCTTGCTTGCAACAATTTAGGTATCTACTGCCCCCTATCGCCAGGAAAAATACACACTGTCACTTTAAACTAAGAGTGACCGATCATATTTAAACAACTTAAAAGTAAAAAAAAAAGGTTTGTAAGTGAACTTGGTCTTTAAAGAACACTCATTTACTTTAGTAGCCATCAATGGAAAAATGTCTCCAACCCGCCATGACCCAGATGGGATATTTTTGTTCAGTGTTGTTGTTTCAGCTCTCATCACAACACGGGAGAACATCTGCAAAATCTAGGTTACAAATTACATTTAGTCCGAGGGGAAAAGGTGGTAACATTGGTAGTGGCCCTGCGTCAGATGTAATCATTACACATGTTCAGTAATCCAGACAGTCAGCCGCTGCCCTACTTTTAGCATCAAAGAAGGACAGACATGAAAACAGACATCAACACCGAGAGGCCGTCGGGTCAATCACAAAGGCAGAGGAGGGGGCAGATCCAGACAGAGCACAGCACCAGCTCCTCCACTGCTCCCGTTTAGGAAAGAGGAGTAAAAGGAAACGAGGTTGCTAGGATACAAGGCTCAATCCAAACACAGCACCATCTGCTGCAGTGAGATTTGGAAATGCTTTAGCCCAGTCAGACAGAAAGAGAGAGAAATCGGCCCAGGAGGCTCGTTGGAAACATCTCTGCAGTTAGATAAGAGAGGAGAGGCAGGTTTACCAGCTGGATGGTGGAGGACAGGAACGAGCAAAGAAAAGCAAGATGAGAAGGGAAACAAGTTGGCATGACACAGAGCTTGTATGCTAACAGGTGTGATACATGCAGCCTCATCTTTCTTTTTTATTTCAGACTCTGACAGAAACGATCACATTTCATCCCCATGATATTTTTGGTAACAACACTAGCAGAGATACTGCTGCTGTTTTTTCCAGTCTCAAATTAGTAACAGATGATGCACCTGTTACCATGGGGACGATAAAAACCCATACCAGATCACTAGTCACAGTATGTTTTGTACCGTGTTGTCTGATATAGTGGAGCAAATCGACTCAAACATCCTCCTCTAGATGAGTCATTTCTCTCGTCATTACTGTAATATAGGAACACCAGCACAAGCGAAGGAACTACAAACTATTAAACCATATAGAGAAACACTACATTTACTGAGAAAAAACATTTAAACTAATCATGCTAAAGTCAAATAGAAACAGCCCAAATAATGAAGTCAATAAGCTGAATATGACCTTAAACAACGGAGCTCCTATTACAAAAAATATTAAACACAACATCCCATGGAGATATTATGGTGCATTTTATTAGACGAAGATCCAATGATGTAGTCAACATCAGCATCTTCTTTTAAAAAACATTAAACCGGAACATTTTCAGTATAAAAGTAGTATTGTACAGCCGATGCAGGGTACCGGAGGGAAAGCGTGACACGACCTAAATCATATTCATCCATATAGACTGCAGATAAATACAATACACAAACACTATTTACAGACATAAACGTAATCCTTGTGATGAAAAGGGTAAATAGAATATATGCATATATTATGATCTGTTTACAAAACAATAATGTAAAGGCAATCCACAGCTAAACACACACACACACACCCTCTTGTGTAGCAACACTTTGCCCAAACCTAAAATTCATCTTTAATTTGGTCAATTCTTTGTTGACAGGTGGGTTCTTTGGTTGTGCTGGATTTGCTCCGGCTTTATGAGCTGCAAGTTGCAGGAAAGTCACCCGTTTGGATGTGTTTGTAACTGGAGAGGGCTTGCCAGCCACACACGCACGCACACACACACAAACAAACACACACACACACACACACACACAAACACACACACACAGGCCAACTTCTACAGAAATGTTAGCAGGAAACAGTCTTTGTGACAAACAGAATGACTAATTTGACTTCTCTGAACCAGGATCCTGTTTGTCTCAGCTCAAATGAAACTGACTTTTGTATCACAGCACAAATTCTCACTGGACATCGCACGGAACTGGTCAGTTTTATTTCATGCACGTGTTCATTAGATACAGCCAGCTGTAGTAAACCCATTTTCCACTATGAAGGAGAGATCAAAGCACATTTAGTAGGATCCTGGCCTTAGCAAACAAAAGTTAGCATGGATGTACCTTAGCATAGCGGCTAAACCAGTGGGATGGATCACAGAGTAAAACAACAATAAATACATTGCTTTTTAGCATTGCCCCATGCTCAGAGTAACAGCAGCTAAACAGCACTCATCCCAGGCTGAAATGAACCCAAACCGGGTAAAGGTTTTCATGTGGTCACACACCTTCATGACCACGAACAAAGTTTGTGTTTACTGTTGATTTATTCTGCTCTGTGGGCCTGATCACTGGCTACTCTGATAAACACTGCAGGGTTTCACCACCTACAACGGCAGAGAGATGCTCACAGTGTCATGCACATGTGTGTGTGTGTGTGTGTGTGTGGGGGGGATCATTGGACACACACTTGGTTGGAGCACTGCAGGAAGGAGAGCCGCTTGACCGCTGCAAGGGCAAAGTCCTGTTAGGTTTTAGGACAAGCTGGCTGTCCAGCTGTATCTGTTCCAACCTTGCCCCATCCTGCTAGTCCTGATCGGCATCACTAGCAAAGCGTGGAACGGATCCAACACGACAGGATCGGGATCATCCCTCCCCACCGTTTGAATCAGCTGCCCAGCGGGTGGCAATCCCTCTGCTATACGGGCCCAAGAGCCAAGCCTCGGTGCCGGGCCGCATCGATGGCCCAGCTGGCATGGTCCCAATCAGCTGGATTTGCTCTGATCGTCTTAGGTCAGCTCATTCATGCTGTGGACAGAGCGAATGCCCATCAGCTCTGCAGCCAAGGCCAGTGGAACGCGCCATGCGGGGCCAACTGGTCTCATACTGGCTGGGTTTCCAGCAACAACTGGAGTTTGTATCATTAAAGTAGAACATTTCACACACTGACGATGTCTCCCAGCAGCCACCGCAGAGGGAACATTTGCTAGAGCAGATTTAGGAGCTTGCTTTTCATTACAACAAACAAAAAGTCACCTTGTCCTGCCTCCAGCCTGTCCTGACCTGTCTCTCTGTCAGACCTCGGGTGTCTAGGACATTCCTGTGTGAGTGTAGCACGTGTGTGAACATCAAGAGGTGTGGAAGGGAGGGATGGGCAGTAAGTTACAGAGGTTAATGGTAAATCAGCCAAACCAAAGTCACGCACTCACCCACTGCACACGTCCCCCTCCCAACCCCCAACCCCCTTCCCCTCCACCCCATCCTCCAATGCGGTTGTCCCTTGGCTGTCTCAGTCCCAGCCGTTGTCCTTGATCATGTGGGCCAGCTCGATGATGAACTTGCCCTCTTTGTACTTCTGACTGCTCTCAAAAGCGTGTTCCTGGAGGGAGAGGCAGGAAATCAAAACACAATCAGAACCATTTCAGCTCTCTCTTTCACCAAGGAATGAAACAAACACACTCAGCTGCTGCATCTGGACCCCCCATCCCCACCTCCCAATGCATAACTGAGCCACAACAGAGCCAGATGCTGACGTTCTCCCATCGTGGATCATGTGTGTTGCTTTTGTCTATTTTGGTTTAGAGCTGCAGAAAGCATGTTATCGGATTTCTCTGTGCTGAAGTGCACCAGGTCAAACTTCCCAGTAGAAGCTCCAGCAGCTGTGGAAAATCTGATATTAATGGCAGCTCTCCATTAGTGCATGTGATCACTGCTTTCTCTGACGTGCGCGGTCCCGGCAGGAATGGAGACTACTGAGAAGTGGTTCACCCAAGGGCGTCAGTTTGTTGTCAGAATTGCTGGGGACAATAACCATACACTTGAGTGGGGTTTAAAAATTGCTGGGGACAATAAAGTAGGCTAGCACAGGGGTCGGCAGCTCTGTAGCCGCATGTGGCTCTTCCATCCATCTGATGCGGCTCTCTGTGCTTGTAAAATAATGAATGGATATTTAAATAAAATGCTTTATATTTTACTGCATTAATTTTACATCTGTATGCCAATTCTAAATGTAAAGATTGTCTGCGTAAACCTGAACAGGTCCAACCTGGTCTTACTGTGAGACCGGGTTGACGTGTCACGCTTGTGCGTAATCATATAGGTGCTTCCTGAGCTGGAGGATGTCAGATTCTGGGCTTCTCCTCAGACAGGCTCCTGGATGCGTCGCCACATTGGAGACAGGAACAAGCACTATTCAGCCAAAGTTTCACAATCATGTGTGGCAGTGTGTGTGTCCAGTCACAATGTCCCGAATGATCATGCGCCCTGGCTACTTGGCCAAGGGGATGTCCCTTTGGCTGACTGGTTAGAGCGTATGACTCTCACCCGGGAGTCTGGGGATCGAATCCCGCCCGGGCCCTCGTTTCTCCACCTTGCCACATATTAACGGATAAACTCAAGGATGATGGTTGTTTTGAAAGAATTACCCTGACGCACACTGATGCGCATGGATGAGCTGACATTTTAATCGTTACGCACATCGCAGAGGTAGCTTGATTCCCATCAGAACATCAGAGCTTTATACTGGACACTGTGTTCAGCGCGGCTCGGAGCGCCCACGGTGGACAGTGAGCTGAAGATCTGAGGGGTTCGCAGCACAGTGCAGAACCACGGTGCATGCGATGATTTCCTCCCACTGAAGTGTTCTGGAAACCCGGTCTCTCTGAGGGATGTGTCACTTGGAAAAATGTTCTTTTTATGAAATTATGAAACTTTGGCTGAACAGCGCTTGTTCCCGTCTCTAATATGGAGACGCATGACGCATCCAGTCTGAGGCAGAATCGCCTCTTCAGCTCAGAAAGCTCCTGTAGAGACATTTGATTACGCACAAAGTTCATGTGGAGCAGAAGTGGTCGGGCCACGGCAGGTGACATGTTCCTAGCCTACATGAAGTGAAACTGTTTAATTGTAACATTAATATGTTACTGGACACGCTGGTCTGGTTGGTTAGACCAGTGTTTGAAGTGGAAAACACACACACACACACAAACACACACACACACACACACACCAATTAAAATAATGCTGATAGCGTGGACTAGAAGACAGGTGATGGTTTACGTATTTAAATGATGATCAGGCTGCTGTTAAATGTAATCTCCATCCACATCCAGACAGAATTATCCTCTATTCTTTCTCTGTTTGCTCTGCTCTTGTCTGGGCTGATGTAGCTGACGGTGCGCGCGGCGCGCCTAGCTAGCGGCTGATGCACATTTTACGCATTTGGAGAGGTGGGCTGGATCCTTTGCTTTTACTGGAAGATGGTCCAATTAACGCACGGGTGTAGACTACATATTAATGACAAATGAATGAAAATTAAATTGGGAGTTTTTACTTCATATTTTAGAAATAAAAATGACGGGGGAACACATTTATGACGTCTTTTTAAACGAAATTTTCCAGCGCGACCTGCCTGCTTCACTTAAGTCACTGCTTATTAAGGTCCGTCCAAAATTACTGTGGCCCACCTAAATATGAAAACCTGGCACTGCGCCAGTTATAACCCTCTGCAAATTGTTGTTCTTCACTTTATCAAACTCAGACTTTGTACAGCTAATGTCAAGATGTAAAATTATGAATTCAGTCGAGCTCTTCCGTCCCTCCCTCTCCTGCTCTCCTGGAAACCCGACATCGGCTGTCAGAAGCGGGAGGTGAAGAAGGAGATGAGGCAAACAGAGTGAGTGCGACGTAAAGAAACCAGACTGGTGTGGAGGTGAGCAAAACAGCTGGAAAAGTGTGGGTGTTGAATCCCCCACGGGTGCGACGCCCATGCGAGCGACCGGTACCGGCTACTGTCACCTGGTTGTGAGCAGCTCTCTGCTGTCTGAGGGTAGGCCCCGCCCACAACGCCACGGCTGCTGCAGTGTTTTCTTTACTGTGGGAAATGGGTAATAATAGCTCTTCGATGGGAACAGGTTGCCGACCCCTGGCTGAGCTGGTAAAACAAAAATCCTCATCAGCAGGCATTTTTTAAAGTTGGGGGGACACAGCTGCCAATCACAAATTTTGCCGGGGACATGTCCCTGGCGTCCCCGGTTAAAATGACGCCTATGGGTTCACCAGGTGTTTATCGTGCTCATAAGTAGAAGGGCTTTTTTTGTGCTCTGGGGCTAAAGAATTAGGTTATGGTAGGAGGCTGGATCAATGGGTTGGAGTTAGCCCCACAGCGTGCAGGCCTGCCAGCAGAACTCTGTCCTCTAGGGTTCTCAAAAGTGTGTGTGTGTAACATGGGAGGACATATTTAGCTAATCTGGCATATGAAGACAGCTAAATACTCAGCTATAAATTGTCTGATGTTATTTTTTTCTATTTCTGACACCGATATGTAGCGGTCGTGGTCAGCCTACGGCCGATATAAGCAACCGATTTTTGGGCCGATTTTCACGGCTGATATCTGGACGTTTTCTCTCGTTTGCTACGGAAAGTTCCCCAACAATAGTTGATGCACAACATTTGTGAACCTGAATCGGTTTTTGAACACCGAACCCTAGTTTATACTTCTCCATCGGCATGCTTGCACTTAAATTATTGTGTTGATATAAGAAATTGTTGTTGCTGGACTGCCCGTTGTGTTCGGCGGCTTGTTATTAAATTGCATACGTATCAACTAATGTCCATATATAACAAATTGTCACCCCGATATATCGGCAGACCGATACATAATCCTAACTTTCACGAGCTTTGTCAATAATTTACAGCTTGTTTGTGTTTTACTATTGCTGCCACAACCACTCACATATTTCCACCCTAGCGTCGTCTTGCAGTTCTCACAGTAGATATCCGCCACAGCGTGCAGACCCGTCAGCAGAACTCTTTCCTCTGCAGGGCCACACCCAACGTTCACCCTGAGAACAGGGGAGACACAACCAAAAAGCCTCAAACAGATGCTCGAGGAGCGGTGGAGTCACACGACACACCGATCAGGTGTGTGTTCAAGGATTGAGACGATCTGGTTTTCTAACTGGAGCCACGTAACTCATGTAGGGATGTGCAATGCCAACCGGAGAGGATCACTAAGTGCAGCATGCACGAGCGTTTGAAGCTTTAAAAACAGACGGGTTGGGAGGAGAGTCTAGATCAGTACTCACACTGAGTTGAACAGGTAAGCTCTGCCCTGGCTGCCCTGGAACGACTGCAGAGAAAAAAACAAAAGCACAATTAGATCTGTAAAATAAAGTAAAACCTGTTGTTATTCTTCATTTTAATCTAAGCAGCTCATTAAACCAGAGCGTTACAGCCAGGAAAAGCTCTTTGTACTCAGGTGAGCGTGCTTTCGTAATCCCACATGAAAAGGCAATAATACAATAATAATCCGGTTTATAATCATCCACTGAGTGACACGCACATGCAGTGTTTAAACTGCTGCTTACTTCCCCACTCCTTCGCTCACTACATCTGCTTCCTGTCTCTTTTTTGTTGTTTTTTGCTGGAGACGCCTGGATGCAAATGGCTACTCCCGGTGAGTAGCAATGATGCTGGTTACCTTGGAGATGAGCTCATCGTGGTTGGCCAGGTGAGCTCGGCAGTGGATGCAGCTGTATGTTCGGTGACAGCTCGGCAGGTATGCCTGGAAGGTCTTGGAGCGCGTCATCCTGACCATGGGCGGTGTTGGCGGGCGGTGCAAAAAGGGACTGCCAGCCCAGGTCGGCTCACAAGGGAAGCACCGCAACACACAGGTGAGGGCCGTGGTGGGCGGTGGGTCGGGAGGTGAACACCTGGCCACAGGGAGAAGAAAAAGACAAGCTCTTAACTATTTTCTGTCCTTTAAAAGACAATATCATCCATAAATCAACTCATGTGACAACCCAGTTCATATTCAGGCTTGTGAAGCCGACACTGTTAACTCTGCTGCCCTGATGCCAACAGCCTGTGACCGGCAGAGCAGCAGGACTCGTTCTCACTGTGTTTAAGGCGGCAGAGATAATCTGCTTAGTTTAGCACAACTGCAATGCTCCATCCATGATACCCGGCCAGATCGAGCCCTTAAAATACTTATGCTGGCGCACCCTGCCGACTGGGAAGATTAGCAAGCTGGTCCGGGAGCCCGTCCCAGGGGCCAGGAGGGTTAGGGTGTGTTTTACAGGAGAGACTAAAAGGGTTCAGCTCTCTGCCATGCGCTGCAGTATTTTTACTGTTGCCTAACGCAACTTTAATTGTGATTTTAGCTCCGTGGCTTTGCTGCAACAAAAGTCCGTCCCATTAATCAGAAAAGGGTAATCTCATTTTATTCCCGAGCTGCATTTCATAAAGCCTCAATAAAACACAACTTTCACCTAACTCTGATTTACCTGAACGCCCCCACAGACAACCACAACTCTTCCAGTCTAAACTTGTGTTTTACGAGTCGATCGCCTTTACAGCGTACCGCTCTGCTTCCTCTCCATCCTGCACGCGTTCACGGAGCCATCTGGAAAAACTCATAAAAACTCATAAAACCCTGACTGGGAGCAGGAGGACAAACAAGAGAGCGGGGGCCTCTTTGCTTTACTGCGTGTGTGACGAAGGCTGATAAAGACCCCGCGGACGATGGGAAGGACTGGAGGATAAAAATAAATAAGGCAGAGAGATGCGCCCTTGTTTTCTCTCCTCTGACTTGGTGCCAGCGGCGTGGGATTGGGGCACAAAGACACAGTACAGTTGTCAGAGCTGATCCTTGGCACGCAGACTGATGTTTAACCAACAGCATGTTTTGCCCTTTCAGTCATTTCAGGACACACTCATGATAGTTGTGACTCTCTTCTGATTTCTACTGCTAAAATGAACAATCTGAGTGCAGGGTTTGTACCAGAATGTGTTTATTTACGATAGAAAGGTGAGATTCTCCTTCTGCTTTTCTGTGTTTTGGCTGATGTTTGGATGAATCTGAGATTCCTCAGAATTGAGATTCCTCAAAATGTAGATAAATCTAGATGCATGTGGCACAAGTAATCAGTGGATCTTCTTACAGACGGTAAAAGATGGGAGCATACTCTGAACTTGAATGGAATAAGACATTTGAAATGAAATTCACGCATATTATAATCCCTATGAATCAGAAATTGGCCCTCAGAATCAGAATCAGTGCATTTTTCAATGAAAGATTGTACCTGAATAAACTCCATGAGAAAAACAAATTACATAAATGACTACAGGTTCCAACATTTACATCAAAACTCGTGAACTATGTGTAAATTCTGTGTTTCTGCCTATTTTGAGCCTCTTTCATTGTGCCAGCCTCTGTTTCTACACCCCTCTGCCTGTTTGCATTTCCCCTTTTTTCTGCTGCTATTCATCAGTCCTGCGGCAGGTCATTTGAGGTCAACATGCTGTCCATTCTGGTCATTTCTGGGTGTCACCACGAAAGCCTACGTGCTACTAAGCCAAAAGCAACCTAGCACACCACCATGCCAACAACAAGGGGGTGGAAAGTGTTATATAACACCGTGATGCTGCAAATGTTTGCAGATGCAGTAAAAACAAAAAAAAGGTAAGAAGCTGTGCGTGCCTCATCAGCTGTACATCCCATGAGCTGCTTTGACACAGTTAGTGTACCTGATGTACTTTCATCCTGCTCTGCTTTCTGTGTCACAACAAGAGCAGCGGCTTACAGCAGCATGACATCATTGACTCCACTCCGCACTGGCATCAAATCTCACTGATGAAGTGATGCTCCCGCCTCTCTGTGTGGGGTTTGTGCTAGCTCTTGCCTCTCCACCCCTCCTTTGTTTGGTCCATTTAGAACCTGATGGAGCCGAAGGCTCATTTTTAGCTCAGAAGTGAAGAAAGGAACTGCAGCAGATGAGTTGAATTAACTCGCGTGCACATTTAGGGAGTGGCAAAGGTGAAAATGGAACATGTATGAAAATGTAAACACTGTATGCAACTTTTGTTTACACGCCTTGTTTGTGACAGATCATCTTTCAAGGCCTGCAGCTCTCTGATCACTAATATTGACTCCATGATCAATGAATGTGCTGCATGCATGCTCTGTAACTGTATATATCCTTTATTTACACTCAAGTGAACTTCGTTGATTTTGTGGCTGGAAAGGCATCAGTTTCCCTTATAAGTGTGATCTGACACGGATTTATGAGGTCACAGCGTGAATAAACACACGTAGACTAGTTTACAGGATAAATGTGTAATTACTGGTGTGAATCAGGTCACAGTAAGTGGCGCAATTTATCTAGGGCAGAACTTCAGCCACCACAGATGGCGGGGATGCCTCAGCTCAGCAGTGCTGAACTCTCTCTCTCTCTCTCTCTCTCTCTCTCTCTCTCACACACACACACACACACACACACACACACACACACACACACACACACACACACACACACACACACACACACACACACACACACACACCACTGTCCTAAAAACATCCTCGATGATATTTTGACAGGTGACTGCTGTCACTGTCAGCTGATTTTATGATAGCTCGTACTGACTGTTGTTTTGCACTCACAGAGGAGGAGGATGGCGCAAACATGCATGACTGTAAAAGCATAGGTCTTTATTTATACTCTAGCTGCATGGCTGAGCACATGCCCCTGTCTTTGCCTCAGTTTATAAGTGAAACTACTTTTCTGAACACGACTTAGTTTAAAGTTACATCGACTAAAGTGTTTGGCAGTATGTAAATGACAGAGATCCATGCTTGTAAGTCCTAAACGAGCAACAGAGGAATGGAAACAGTGCGCAATGAAACGCACTGTGGGGAAACGCATACCTTTGAGGGGAAAAAATCTGATCTCCACGTCTCCTAGAAAAACGTCGCACCTCCTCCGTTCTCCTGGTGGCAGTGCCAATCCTTAAAAGCTCGTTTGCATTCCTTCCTAGACAAATTTCCTCCGCTCTCCGGCCTTGACAAGTCCTGCAGGGACGCAATGTTTTGACGCGCAGCAGTGCCCAGCAGAGTTTACAGAGGGAGACAAAGAGTAGCGAGGCAACCAGCCGGAGCAAGATAAACCCCCTAGCTAATTCCGTGTTCGAAACCCGCTATCTCTCTGGTTCGTTTGATTCGTGTTTTAGCTGCGTTCTTATTCATGCTAAAGCTTTTAAAACATTATGTCACGCAAGCAAACGGTTGATAACATAGCTTCGTTTCGACGAACTGTCACAAGTTTAATGTTTCACAACCAAAGGTGTTATCGAACCAGAACATAGAAATCCACGAAAAAGTTTACATTTTTAAATTATTAAAAAAAAAACACACACACGTTTTCGACACGGTTTAGCGTATCACCGCGAAAAACTGCAGGAAACGCTGCTCGTTACGTGAACTATCTTGATTTGATACTCTTTCACAGTTGGACGACAAGAGTATCAATCACAAAGCAGAATTGGCATAGCAACACTGCGCCTATTGGTCGAGAGCGCAACAGACTAGCTAATCGTGTCTTTGGAGTCTTGTAGCATGTAGCATTTTATGCATTAGGAAATTAGGAAATAGCTTTAAATAAAACCCCAGCATATTTCATTATAGCTGTCAGATCAGAGTTAATTAAAAAGTCTTTCAAGAAAAATTTAAAAAGAAGTTCAACATCTTTAAGTTTTTTAATTCAGGCTAAACTTTTAAAATATTGTTCTTCCAGTCTGAATGCCACCATCTATCAAGTTGATATTGGCAATACTTTATAATATGGGTCCCTTTAATAACGTTACTGAGTGCATTATTAAGCATTAATGAACTAATAAAAAAAGTATTAACCATATCATGTAATGTACTACTAAGCAGACCCCGTACCCTAACCTTAAAGAGCAAGTCACCCCCAAATAAACTGTTTTTTGCTGATAAACTAAATAAACGAGTGTCCAATCATGCTGCAGACACGTGTCGTCAATAATTTGGCACTTCGGTGCATCTTAGTTAAAATTTAAATATTCTGCCTAAAACTGGCAGTGTTGTGCCGTTGTCAGGTAAAAATTCTGCACTGTATTTGAATTTAAATCTGCCACCGCTATTGGCTAAGAGGTATGCTATGATGTAAACTGGTACATTATGATGTCACAATGCTGTTGTGAGCATGTGTGTGTGTAAATTTGTTAGTGGCTCCGCCCTCTTGGTCTGCTAGGCAAAAGCATTTGTTGCTTTTTTCAAACATGAAGTGGGAGTGGAGTTAGACTCTGGTAGGAGGTGACTTGCTCTTTAAGTCACCTCCTACCAGAGTCTAACTCCACTCCCACTTCATGTTTGAAAAAAGCAACAAACGCTGTTGCCTGGCAGACCGAGAGGGCGGAGCCGTTAACAAATACACACACACACAGGCTCAGGGACGTAATTTTCGCTTTAGAAGTGTGTGTGTGTGTGGGGGGGGGGGGGGGGGGGGACACGGGGGGGGGGGGGGGGATCTTTACAGTATGCTCTAATGGGAAACAGGCTTCAACACAAATGGTTGTTTTCCGCTTGGTCCTAGAGCTCAACCAGTGTCAATTTAATATAGCGTAATATTGTTTTTGGATGGTAAAAAGTGCAGGGGTCAAAACTTGACTTTGGAAAAAGTGGGGGGGACATGCCCCCCCTGTCCCCCCAAAAAAAATTACGTCCAAGCACAAGCTCACAACGACATTGTGATATCATATGGTACCACCTAACTAGGGTACCTCTTAGCTAGTAGCGACGGCAGATTGAAATTCAAATGCAGTGCAGTTTTTACCTGACAATGGCACAGCACTGACAGTTTTAGGCAGAAAATTTAAGTCCGCCCTGAAACTGGGAGATCAGGGTTCGATTCCTGGTCCGGTCATATCAAAGACTTTGAAAAAAATGGGACCCAATGCCTCCCTGCTTGACACTCAGCATTAAGGGGTTGGATTGGGGGGTTAAACCACCAAATAGTTCCCGAGCGCGGCTTGTCTGCAGCTCACCGCTCCCCCAGGGGATGGGTCAAATGTGGAGAATAAATTTCGCACACACACCTGTGTGTGTGACAACTAATGGGACTTTAACTTTAACTAATGTGCAAAACTATTGACTACACGTGTCTGCAGCACAATTAGACACACATTTATATAGTTTATCAGAAAAAAAAAGTTGATTTGGGGGTGACTTGCTCTTTAAGGGCAAATAATGGTTACGTGAATAAAGGGACCTTTATTGTAAAGTGTTACCTAATGTTTTGTGTGATCTAGTTTATTACTGGTAAAAGAAAGCAGAGGGAACAAATTTTGAAATTTGCTCACAAATATCACGTGCTTAACTAATATTACAAAAATAAACGTGCATCTTAGGAATATTCATGAAAATGTAGAGTATTTATTGTTTCTGTGCAATCAAATGGCAACAGTGGTTGGAAGCATCAAACAACAACAAACAAGCAGTCAGGCCCCACAAAGTGATTGTCAGCAAAACCAGGAAATCAGAGCACGCAGCAAAAAAGTACACCCAGAACAACACAAGTTATCTTAGAATAATAATTTTAAAACTGTGAGTCATGTTTTATGGATCGACAGCTATAGAAATAACTGACAATAGTAACACAAAATACCCTAGAACAGGAAGCACATGGAACACAATACTGAGACTGATTTGAAATACATTCAAACAATACTACATTCATTGCACTCATTGTGTGGTCATGAGTCTGGATTAATAAATCGTGTAATAACCGACTTACAGCAGTCTGCCTCTCCACAGACCTCGCTGTGGAGAGGCAGGAATATCGTCTAGCAATTTTAATAAATGCTTCAAACAACCAACATTAATTACTGCCTCTAATGGGCGGTCAAAAATAAATCCACTTAATAAAAATATTTAATTTCTTAAATAAGTTTACAGCAGCGACTTGTGAGAAAAATAAGACTCAGATTTGTGCAAAACGCCTCCCTTAAATCATCTAAATGAAAACGATTCATTTAACTCAGGGAGAAAATGCCTAAATATTATCTTGTACCCATAAAACACACACAGAACAGTAAAGTACAATGAGTTTTTCTTTTTCTTTAGATATGAGACAGGGCCACCCTTCTGCCTGTAGAAAACCTCAATTTATAAGAAAAAGAAATCTCCCAGCAGGAGCCAAGTGACTGTCTGATTATAAAAACTCAAAAGTTGCTGGTAAAACATTATAGCTACATCATAAAACATGTGTACAAAGATAAAACTATCAAAGTGTTTCTACCTACAATGATATTCAACACTGATAAGACTTACAAACACAATACTTTAGTTGTCCTGTTTCCTAAACTCACTTTAAAGATAGTGTGCTTTTAAATCCGACAGACGTCTTAACATTGTTTTTTTTTTTTGGGGGGGGGGGGGGGGGGGAGTTTAGTCGGGACAAAATGTGCAGCTCAGAGGGACTGATACTCAGAACTGTGATGGAGAAGGGCACATTGGTATTATCATTAAGTAAAAGGATCTGCTCATATTTTCACCTAAACTGACTTTAATGAAGCTACAGTAAGAGCATCTTCATCTAAAACAATAAACATGTATTTAGTGAACAGGTGTCTCCATCAGATTTCACTTCCTGTTATGATTTCTATCAAAAATAATCACAGAGGTATAATAAATATGTAAACACCTTCCACTCAAAAGGCATACACACTTTGTGTGTTTCTTTTAGTGTATGATAAACATTTTAGATGTGCTCATCACAAAATGAAAACATAATTCATTAAATTATTGCTAAACATAAAAGCTAAGCAGAATTTAGAGTCCCAATGTATCACAAACCATTTTAAATTGAAGTAAATTTGGTTTTGTCTAACTGGATCAAGTGTTTATGGGTCCCAGTAGCATGGCTGTTTATATGTAATCATTTTAAAGTAGCTTTTATAGGTTTGGAGGTTTTCTAGAAACAGGTCTCTAGAAGTGACTTTAGTCACCAGTAGACTAACTGGTGCTTCATACTGGTTCCACACAATCTGGGAGAGGAAGCCTGCTGGAATGCATGCAGTGAAAGTGGGTGAATGTGAGGCGCTGGTTTGGCGGGTCAGTCAGGTTGAAGGATGACCAGAGACGAGGTGAGGGAGAATACTGTGGGTCACTGGGCTTTGGAAATGCCATTCCTATCCATGAACTCTTTAAGCATGGTGGGAAAATCTGTCATCACTCCAGTGGCTCCCAACTCGAACGCCCTTTGGAAGTCCTCCTCATCGTTCAGCACCCAAATGTACACCTGAAACGAGACGCAGTACTGGGACAGTTAACACATCCCAGTCTATATTTAAACGTTTCCTGGTAGCTGCATTTAAACACAACAAAAGGAGTCAAGGACAGTAAACAGCTGCCAGAACACAGATGCGCATGTCAGTGACGCTTTTATAATATGGGTGAAAGTTTCTGTCATTCTTGGAACTAAAGAAGTTAAAGAAATGTAGTCTGACTAAATAAAGGGCGAGAATTACCATGTTTTGAGGTTTTCATTTGGGTTTGGAGTTTTAACACAGATCAGAATCTGTTGTCCTACTGTCCTCAGTCTTACGTGCATTTATCACTGACCCACTTGTGCATTTATCACTGACATCTTGTGGTCAAATTTGAGTACTGCAGTCCATGTGTCAAAACAAACCATTCTACTCTGGGCAACTGTTGCCAGTTACAAATCACCACCAGACGACTCTGGTTGACGAGTGAAGACGAGTCATACACAGTAAGGTATATAAATACAGGTAGGTAGTTAAATACATTTCACTGAAATATTGAGTTGCTGAGAATTGAAAAAGTAACTTGACATATTTTTTAAGCCAACTATTTGCACCATTAGTATTGTTAGCTCAATGTTAGCCTCTAGCCCACTTCACCAGATATAGGGAGCCTAAAGCCTGAGTTATACTTCTCCGTCTGCGTCGGTGAGGAGACACTCAACACCATTATGCGTCGATGCAAGGGCTCTCTGACGGGCTCACAGAGAGTGACGGAGACATACCCAATATTTTAAACGTCCGTCGAAAGTGACGAAGACCACAAGCTTGTGATTGGTCAGGACACCGCTTCCTGTAAATTCGTCACCAGCACCGCTGTTGCCCCATTAAAAAGTTAAAAGATATTTAGGGGGAGACCCAAAACAGATCGAAGAACGCATCGCGGAAAAAGTCTGAAAATATGAACATTTATTCACCTGTGACTGAAGGAGTACAAAATACAGTGCAAACGTGGATGGAGATGATGGGAAATGTGGGTTAAGAGGTGGTGACCGCGTAAAGAGGTGGAGGAGAATGAAGGACAAATTTGTCTCTGAAATATATAAACAAATGAGTAAATATATTGTCGTAGACGGATACATGGGTGTTATGGTGGCAAGACGCCACAGAAAATCGCTACGCCCTCTGTTGTCCTGGCGGGAAATTGTTTTGCAACACTCCGCTGCCTGAGCAGAAGTTCGCATGTGAGAACCTTTCCGACACTTCGTGTGCATCTCTCCATTGAAGAGCTCATGGAGAAGTGTAAATCAGGCTTAATTCATGCCCACCTACTTCCACAGTGGATCCCCAGAAGAACAAAAAAATGAATGCAAGTGAATGGGGCTATAAACGCTATTTTCTAATCCCGCTGGATATGTGCCATGGATTTCACATATGATGTCCATGAATTGTTGCCCTTGTATTGTGTTAGAAAGCTGTTTACACCTGTGGTGTTAGCCGGTCCATTTGGACCCATGATTTAAAAATGCTTGAAAATGCTTAAAATCACCAGTTTTCTTCAAATGTTGTTTTTCAGCTAATTACTGGCGTAATATGTATTCATCTAAATGGAACCAGTGTGTAAATAGTTTTTAGTTGGCTCCACAGACAGTATTTTAAAATATTCCACTCGTTTTTGATTGCAAAAACTGCTTAAAGGGACTTTACGGAGTTTTGAATTTTTATGCTCGCGATTGCCCCCTCAGGCCAAAAGCGTAATGGCAGCTTCAATAGTAGGCTCATGCAGGAGGCGCGCATGCTGTACGTGCACACTCCTTAACGAAAATAACAGCTGAGACAGTCCCTTGTGTGTGTGTGTGTGTGTGTGTGTGTGTGTGTGTGTGTGTGTGTAGGTAATTAAATAATTTGGTTCTGTACCTTTCTCTTCAGCACAGCAGACAAAGGTTTAAGATGGGTCAGTCTTCCTGCATGCTCAGATCATTCCCTTCCCTTGCTTGAAAAATTGTTCCAAAATGAAAGTTGAACCCACATCTTTTTTATCTGTGAATTCAATGCCGTTCGGCGAGTCTCAAATAAAAATTTGGGCATCTTGTAAAAAAAATATACCATTAATGTAAAAAAGAAACTCTAAAAAAAACTATGTTCACATCCAGAATCAAACCCGGGTCTACTGCACAAGAGTCCGACATCTTAGTAGGTGAGCTGAAGCACCAGTAATGTCCTTTGTATATGTAACATTTATATCCTTGATGACAGCTGAAACAACGTTCAAAGAACGGTTCGAAGCGAAAATGGCTATTTTGTTGCTAATTTACAGGAAATATCTAGAAGAAAGTTCTACAGAAAGTAGCTAAGGGTCCTCAGAAATGTAGCTAGGTTTGTCACTAGGCATTAGGAACAGCGACAAAGTGGCACTATCTCACTCTCTGCTGCTAAAGCTACGGATAGCAAATGCTACGGGCTATGCCTGAGCGTGAACGCGCATGAAGCAGCCTGCTCGACCCGAGCAGCTCTCTTTTTCTGTGATTTTACAGAAAAACAGGCAATCACAGTAAAAATGCCAGGGCTCATTCTACAGGACCAGGACATTGTAGGAGAATGTATGAAGAAGACATTTATTATTTCTATACATGTTTTGGCTGTCAAGCTTCCATAATGCCTCTTTAAATTCACTGAATATATTTATTTTTCTTATAGAATGAGTAAAAATAAACTATAAATGTGTTATAAACTAATATTAGAGTACACCTTCCAAAAACAAATTTACAATTTTTTTTACCATTTAAAACTATTAACAATAGTGACATCTTTGGTGTTTTGGGTCAAAACGGACGTCCGTAATTACAAATTTCTACATGACTGACGTGGTCGAAACACACATCATTACTTTTTATTTAAATTGATGTACAACATATGTGCGGTCCAGGGTGTAAGGCAAAGCGGATTTGAAAATCGCTCTCTAAGCCCTGCTGATTTGTATTCACGACCCATGAGCCGACCCGAAAGGACAGAGACTTAAGCTCCTTGTTACAGTAAAATAAAAAGATGCTGCAGCATCTTAGGGGTACAAGAAATAACTTCTGGGCTGCTCCTTTTACTGGCTAAACTTCTTTCCACATTGCTGCTGCTTTTTGACTCCTGGTGTTGATTTACAAATACTAGCGCAGACTTAGCAACTCCGCAGGCTCACATACGATTGGCTCTGCATGGATCTAAGAATTATGAAGGCAGGACAGATTGTAAACAATGATTATTTGCTGCTTTGGCCTTTTTAAATGTAGAAAAACAAACAATCCCCAAGCCGACTGAGAATAAACCTTGTTTCAATGTTCCAACATGACAGAGACATTCGACTGTTTTGTGACTACTTCACTGTAATATTCTTACTTATGGGACTTTTAAAGAAATATGGCATACCTGTATTCCTCTGGCAGTTAAATGTTGAAAAAGAGATTTCCTCATCAGCAAACTGGAGAACAGAAACAAAAATACCAGTCAGCAAAGAAAAATGGTTGGTAAAACAGTGACAGAATAATAAGGTCAAACACACAAAGGTTTAGATTGAATATTATCCATCTTCTGGGTCACCACACCCAGCCTTTATGTAGACTTGGTGTTTATGATGGTGCAATACAATGAAGGTTAAAATATTAATTACATGAGGTCATTTTCATGCACTTTAGCCTTTTGTTTTTGGGGAAAACAATGTCAATTAGCAAGATAAAGGGATGTTTGACCAAAAAATGACAATTTTGTCTGTTGACATATTTCCCAGCTTTAGATAAGTGGGAAAAAGCAGTTTTTAACACGCCCAGTCATTCCCCTGACCCGGCTGTACTCCTTTAGCTTAGCATAAAACACAGTAAGTGAATGGTAGCAACTAGCGTTATGAGTAAAAACATCTTTAAAGTCACCCAGTAGTGATCCCAGTTCTGTTGGGTGACCTAAATAATCAGACTGACTGCAAGTGAAAATAATTAGTAACATAAAGGAACCACAGGCACTCAAGGCCGCCTGCATGGGCCAACCGTGGCCAGGGGGCCTATCATTTCAGGTTAAACAAAAACAAAGAACCCCAGTCAGTCATCTTAGATGCTCATTTAAGGAAGCCGATTGATCCAAATTACAAGTGACTTACTCACCCGCGTGGCCTCTGGACCATGAGCTCACCAATCAGAAGCAGAATTGGGATAACTACTGAGTGATTTTAAAGATGTGTTTACCCACAATTCTAGCTGCATCCATTCACTTACTGTGTTTTATGCTAAGCTAAAGCTAAAGGAGTACAGCCGGGTCAGGAGGATGACTGGGCCGGTTAAAAACTGTTTTTTTTTTTTTTCATTTAACTCTGTGAAATATGTCAACAGACAAAATTTCAATTTTGGGCGGAATATCCCTTTAACACAAAGAAACCAAAATGTTCCTGATAAAATGACAACACATAAACCAACTTTACACATCTGGACAGATGAGAAACTCACGTGTCGGCGAGCCAGGCAACAAATCTCTGACTCCTTGTTAATCTGCTCGGATCCTGTAGCCTGGAAAACCACACAAGTACAACATTCCCATTATAAACAAACCATCTGGATAAAAGCAGCCAAAATATTATTCGAGATCCATAAAAACTCCACACAAAAAAAAAGGCTAAAATCTTTACCTCTATGATGCCACTCAGTCACATCCCTGTTGGGGTATTCTCTACCTCACAATCTTATCAACAAGTAGAGTTACTCAGACAGACAGACTTCTAATTGACTGGATGATTAAGTACCTTTAAGCTGAGCTTCACAAATCATTATTTCTGTTTAACAGTCACCAACTGGGCAGAGTTTGCAATTCCAGTTTGAAAACAGTAACTAGAAGAAACATAGTTTAGTTCTGAATGTGAAAGTTTAAAGACAAATGCCATCTTGCTTGGCTCATCGCCTCTTGAGCATCTTCTTTTATCTTTATGCTGGAGGTTGTTTACTGAGATTGCCGTTAATACTGACCTATGAACATTTAGTAACATGTGTTTGCACTTACTTGGTTATAATAGAGGGCATTGGGATCTCCAGAAACTGCTCCTTCAGAGGAACAAAGGGCAGGAGGCCTGTGTAGAAAAGACCTAAGAGCTGCAATACTCTGGGAAGGCTGAACAAAACTGGAATCTGTGGGTTCTGCCAACATAAAATAAACAAAGAAAAGCATTTTTTATAACCAGTTCCAGCGTTATTAAAGGTCTAAATGGACATTTATGAAATGCTTAGCGAAAATAACTGGTATATTTTTATGTTTGACCACAGAATTATTGACAATGAAACCGAAATACCAAATAAAATCAAATAAACTTATTAAATTCTAGCAAACTACTTAAAGCTGCATTAAGTAGAAATTATACCCTGTGGTAAATTTGGTTACTGCTACCACTTTAAACAACTCTGGAGCTTTTTGCCGCCCGTCGTCAAGTTACAGTTGTCGGCGCTGCAGTATTAGCTCGCAGGAGACACGACAACCCCACACTCACTGATGGAAAACAGTAGCTACGTCTATCCCTCCTCGATATGAAATATGTTTCAGTATAACCTTCCTTTCAAAATGACTGAAACATTAGACTCCTTCGGGATTTTCTCACAGTAAAATTCTCACTATATTCTTACATACTGCACCTTTAATTGAGACAAAATAAAGTCACAAAAAACACTTTATAACAAAATGTGACGAAATAATTTCGAAAAGATTTGGAAAATGTGATAAAAACAAAGCTGAACTTACCTCTTTGTAACACTTTTTGACTATCTGGTTGCTGGAGTTGCCCCACACAGTCAGATTTTCTCTGTCGTATTTTACAACCAGCTCAGAAACCTGTAAATATCAACATGTTTGACACATTAAACTCCATCCATCCATCCATCCATCCATTATCTGAACCCGCTGAACCCGCTTATCCATGCAGGGTCGTGGGGGGCTGGTGCCCATCTCCAGGAGTCAATGGAGAAAAAAAAGCAGGGTATGCCATGGACTGATTGCCAGTCCATCACAGAGCAACACAGAGACACACAGGACAAACAATCAAGCAGACACACGCTCACACCAAAGGACAATTTAGAGAGACCAATTAACCTAACAGTCATGTTTTTGGACTGTGGGAGGAAGCCGGAGAACCCATGCATGCACAGGGAGAACATACAAACTCCTTGCAGAAAGTCCCCGGCCGGGATGTGAACCCAGGACCTTCTTGCTGCAGGGCAACAGCACTAACCACTCTGCAGCCCTACATAAAACTCCATCTCTAGCATAAAACTTTTAAACTAACATTTTAGCCACAGATTTGAGGCTAGCTTCTCCTAAAAATGAGTTTAATGTTGATATCTGCAGGCTTATTATGGGACAGCAGTAGCTCAGGAGGTGGAACAAGTTGTCCAGTAATCGGAAGGTTGCAGGTTCAATCCCAGCTCTAACCAGAGAATGCTGCTGTTGTGTCCTTGGGCAAGACACTTATCCCACCTTGCCCGCTGGTGGTGGTCGGAGGGAACAGTGGCGGGTGTGTTCAGCAGCCTCACCTCTGTCAGCGTGCCCCCCCAGTGCAGCTGTGGCTACATCATAGCTCATCCCCACTAGCATGTGAATGTGTGTGTGAGTGGATGATTGTGTTGCAAAGTGCTTTGGGGGGTTGTAGAACCTAAGAAGGCGCTATACAAATACAGGCCATTTACTTTATTAAGTCTGATTGAATTCCTATGAGATGTTTTATAGTTTAAACTGTGGTCACCTTGATGCAAAATGAAGACAAAAGAAGTAGTTGAATAATTAGACCTACACACACACACACACACACACACACACACACACACACACACACACACACACACACACCTTCTTAATCAGCGTGTTGTTGTTGACCTTGATGTCGATGTTGATGGGGGTATTAGGGAAAGCGTCAAAAACGTCCCTGAGGAGCGGGATGCGCTTGTCCTCTCCTCCTTCGCAGAAACACTCTGCAAGATGGAAACAAAAAAACAAAACAAAACAAAAAAAAAAAAAAACTCACCCACAGTCTGGATTCACAAGATGTGTGTGTTTGTTCTCAGGTCCAGAAAAGGGACTGACTGAGCGGTCCTAGCTGAGTGACACCTACCCTTCTGAAAAGTGACCCCGAGTTTGCAGAGATATGGAGGGAGTTCCTGCAGACAAGAAAGAAGGATCTGGTTGTGGTCAGAAGTTTAAACACACATCATGGGAAACATGCCAGTAATTTGGGTGTTTAAATGATTGATTTGAATTGTTATTTTCTCCCATCGATATTAAGATGCACAAAGTTTCCGTGTCTTTTCCAACCACAGAGCTGATGTTATGAAGCTCATCTTCAGATCCATTAGTACAAAAGAAACTGATACCATAGATGAGATCTCTCAGCTTCTCAGCTAATTGTTTTCGGTTTCATTATAAACTGTATTAGAAAATTAGGTCATCAAAAAAGAGCAGCAGTTGAGTAAGAAGAATCTGCTGATTCTCCACTGGACCTGATGGTAACCATTAAGTGTCACAATCAAGTGGCTTAGCTTTGACCTCACTAGATCAGGACACACGATACAAAAAAAAAACCACATGCTGTTGTTTCGCAGGAATAATCAATGGCTGCAAATTATCTAAAATATACATATTTATTCAATCTGAATTCCCAAATCCATGTTTTGTCACATTAACACATTTTTTCTTTTTCCAATTAAAAACAGATAAGCAGCTAACTCTCAGAGAGGGTGGTGAAAAATAGTCAGGATGTAGTTATTGTTCGGTCACATGAAGGAGATGAGGAAAACTCACGGCGTAGGTCATGCTGCTGATGTCAGCTTCGACACCACAGACCCGCTGCAAATTGGTATCATGTGAAACCACAACCTGTTCATCTTTGGTCAGGTGGCAGTCCAACTCCAGCATGTCAGTGCCGAGATCAACAGCGCTGCAGGAGGGAAACGTATTCACGTCAGAACAGAGACTAGTTTTCTTTGAACTTTGGCTGCCTGTTTGTTTATTTTGTGTCCAGTACCAGAGCATTTTCAGGCGAATTTGTTGAATTTGTTAAGCTGCTTAACTCTGAATCATTCAATTTACAACAAAATAATTAAAAAGCCTTGAGCTTTGAGTAAACATTGAAGGAAAAAAAGGTTTCTACCCACTGTTTAAAAGCTGTCATTGTGTTTTCCAGATTCTCTCCTGCCCCTGCAATATAAAAGTGAACACTATCACATAAAACCCAAACTTCACCTTATAGCATGCTCAAAAGGAGAATAAACCATTAACACGAACCATGAGGGAAATTAGTTTAGGATCAATTACAATGGTTTATTTAAACTAAATATTATTACAAAGTAAAAAAATAAATAAACGCTGATCACATTAAGCTCCGACTCACCTCCACGATGGGATATGTGCCTGCTGAGGAAAGTTTCCCTCTTCCTCCGGTGCAGGAGGTTCGGACATTTCAGCAGCAGGGCAGAAGTGAGCACATAGCCTGTTACCGTTGACAGAACATAAACAGCAGCGCACATCTTCAGTCTGTCCCCTGGAAAACAAACACATTTCCATTAACATCAACCCTGGGATTTCAACTGGGCTGTTCAGATTTGTATTTGAGAAGATAAGTGAGTAGGATCAGCTCAACAGTGATATCGATTGCTGACAATTTCTCAGTGATACATCATTAGATGAATGAGTTTTAAATGTTTTGCCTTGTGAATGGATAACCCACCCAAAGCAATGCAACAACTTATAATTATTACTGATTAATGGGGCAAATGTTGACTTGATTATCTGGAAGATACATATGTGACTCATAAATAATTGTAAAAACACCTGAACATTTGAATTTAAACATGTTTATAAAATGGAAACAAAGCTATGTGGATGAACCAAACCAAACTACGAAATCTACAACGATGATTGTTTATTAGAATTACAATTTGACAGGTAAATTACTGTTTTTGTGGCAGTTTATCACGTTTCTGAGTGATGCGTTCAATAGCCTCCGTATTTTAAGAGTTATTATTAAACAAGAACTATTTCTGCGAGAAAATGGTAAAAAACTAAAAGCAGAAGCCACATTTAAATTTAAAAAATGATGCAATTCCTATTTCACCTTAAATGGAAGCGTTGTCAGTCTAGTTTTCCTCGTAAACGTTTGTAGATACATGATAACATCAACTACGATGCTAGCTTTACTAAGCTAATGTTAGCGGACAATGGGGACCAAACGTTTTAAATATATTCTTACCTTTTTATTTAGTTTAGGGTCGTCTGTCTTTACAACTCTGGCGGCGTCACTGGCGTCCAGCAACAGAAAAAGTAAAACTGGTGAGGTGTCCTCCAGCTGGATCACCAATTTGCGGCTGTCATGTGGAAGTGCGTGCGCACATTTCTGACAGCTGTGACGAAAAGAGGACTTCCGCTAAGAAGAATTTCAGAATAAATGCTGCACGCAAATTATAGTTTCTAAAATTAGATTTTAGAGCTGGATCTTGCCAATGCGTTGCTTGCATGTTCACATATTTACGTAACCAGTTATAATGTCACACTGTAGACATTGTTCACCTTCTATCAGAGCTGTAAGGACGTTTTTTGTTGTTACAAATATATAACAATTATTAAATGTTTTTCCCTAATACAGCACATTATTTGGTTGAAAATCGTTTGAATAAAAAAAAAGAAAAAAAATTGAGTTACCCTAAAAAGAAATTGTACAGTATAAGACTTTAAACATAAGCACCACAGCTTTTACAGAAGATTAAATTTATTTTAGGTGTTTGCATCTTAATATAATTAATATGTGGGTCATCAGTTTGTAAAAATTTTCATTAATTATTTTGACAGTTAATTGATCTTTTTTTGCTAGTTTGCCCTGTTGAAGATGTTGCTTCTAGGACACATGTACGTTTTTGCAGAATTAAATTGTTTGGATAAGTTCTGCTGAGTGCCTCGAAAATGTGTCAAAGTTGTGAATAGCCTTTTGTCCTCCACAGCATAAATGATGGAATATTAACTTTAAATTATTCAGGTGTTGGTTGCACTGTAAGAATGACACTGACTCTGTCCACCAGATGATGCTGATGTGCGGCTGCACACAAACAACGTTCACTGAGAAATATCAGCATGGCAAAGGAAGAAATTCTGACCTCTAGTCTTTGCATAACTTTAATATAGACTACAATTAACACCGTCACTCTCAGCCTTCTGAGCGATAAAACCAGTCAAAGTTCATTTGATGTAATAAACTCATGATGGAGATATGATACACACCCTGATGATAGTTCAGCATTTCATAGGTTTTAAAGATTTAACAGGTGCTGCTGTTTCTCAAACAGGTTTGGTGTTAGTGATACAAAATGTCTCAAGTTCTATCAGAAGTTCTGGAGGAGTGGAAATGTCTAGAGGAAGAGTATCAAAAGCTTCAGGTAAGATATTCACCCCTTTTCCTGCTACTCTCCAAACATTAGAAAACCTTCCTTGTGCATGTGTTAATGATACTGATTACTGCTGCACTGCAGGAGACACACAAAATGTATTTGCAGAAGTTGGATGAAATCTCCAAACTACAGAACAACTGTGCTACATCTATTTCACATGAGCGGAAAAAGCTGCAGGACACGTCCCGCTTTATAAAGAAGTAAGTAATCTTTAACACCCTGAGATAAATGCTGTACTTTTGGTCAGAAACATACCGGAAGAAGGAAAATTTCAACTTAATGTCACATTGTACAAATAAAACATTCATCAGATGCAGCAAGCGGTCCTCAGAAGAAGATTCAAAAGCGTTGCTGGAGTTAGAACTGAAGATAAAGACACAAGAACATGTTTTCTCTGAAATGGAAGCGTTTCTTCCCAAGAAAAATGGGTGGGTGATGACTCATGATCAAAGCTAACATTACTGATCTTGTTAAAGCACAAAATCATACATTTAATATTGTAAATGTGATTACATTGCAGCTTATACCTGAGTCTGGTTCTTGGAAATGTGAATGTCACTCTTTTCAGCAAGCAAGCAAAGTGAGCTTTTACTTTCAAATACTACTTTTAAAGGAGGATTGAAACCATACGTAATTTTAAAATTGTTTTTCTTTACACAGATGACTCATTTCTAGCTTTCTGAGCAGCTGCACTCTGGTAAACATTCTTAAAATATCCCGTCTCTTGCAGGTTTGCCTACAAAGATGAGTATGAGAAGTTCAAGCTGTGCCTCACCATCATCCTGCTGCTGTTCTCCTTCATTTGTTATTTCTTTGTGAGCTACAGGTACAGGTTCAGGCACACCCTCGGGTTTATTTAAATAAAAACAGAGATCACAAAGATCTATTCTTTCGGTTTAACAGATTAGAAACAGGACTGAGGGAACAGAACTGAACACAACACTGGAAAAATCAAAACGAGTTTAGGGACCGTCTACAAATAACACCTGACTGTAAAGCACTTTGGAGTCCTCTGACTCTGAAAGTGCTCTACATGCGGGTCATTTATCATCATTTATAATATCCATTACCACCATTATTATTGGCTCCAAATACTTATGAACATCAACATGTTCATCCTTGTGATATTGTATTCCTTGATGCTCATTTCGATTGGGTTTGTTTTGATTTAAATTAGGCTTCAGCAAATAATTTGTTCCAGTAAAGCAAAGAGAAAGTGGTTCGCTGTGTTTGAATGCTATTCTGAGCTTTTTCTACAAGATAGTGGTGTTTTTTACAGTAATGCTGCATGTGCTCTGGTTTAACTCAGCTTTTGACTTCAGATTTCTTGATGCAATCCTCAATTTCCTGCTTGTGTGGTACTACTGTACGTTAACCATCAGGGAAAGTATCCTCATCACAAATGGCTCCAGGTTAGCACCATTTATACTCTTCAAACCTCCATCGCTGTACTCACAACACAACTTTATCCACTAAAGAAATGGTTCTTGGTTTAGAATCAAGGGATGGTGGGTGTTTCATCACTACATTTCAGCTTTTCTGTCTGGTGTAATGTTGACATGGTGAGTAACATGAATTCAAACTCAAACAAAACATTTTATATAAATATTTTTGTCACGAACTGGTCAAAACTTTTCCTCTTACACTTCAAGGCCAGATGGAAACCTGTACAAGATGTTCAGGAACCAGTTTCTTGCCTACTCCTTGTATCAAAGTAGGATTTTGTTTTCTTAAAACAAAACAAAAACAAACAAAAAAAAACATTTTAATTCAGATTTTTCTCATTCTCTCGTGTGGAACCTGCAGGTTTTGTTCAGTGCTTGCAGTGCTACTATCAGAGTGGATGTCTGTACAGGCTACGAGCCCTGGGAGAAAGACATAACATGGATCTTACTGTAGGTGAGGTGCAGCAAAACACGCCAAGGACACATAATGTCCTCAGTCTCACACACACACACACACACACACACACACACACACACACACACACACACACACACACACACACACACACTGCAGCTGTAAAGAGAATAAAGGTAACCCATGATCTATTGGGAATGTTGATATTTTTGAATGACTGAATGTTTCTGTTTAAAGAGGGGTTCCAGTCCTGGATGTGGAAAGGACTGACATTTCTGCTGCCCTTCCTGTTTTTTGGTCACGTGAGTATGATCTGTCCAGCTGAAAAGTTTCCACCAACGGTAACGTTTGCATTAAATTTCTAATGATTGAGCTGACGTCATTCCAGAACAAACTTTATTCACTGAACACTGATATTTAAGATCCAGATGAGTCCACGTGATATTTTCCCCGCAGGAGATAATAAAAAAGAAATAAAGCAAATATTTTTGTTTATTTTTTATAGTTCTGGCAGCTCTTCAACAGCCTGACTCTGTTCAAAATGGCCCAGCTTCCAGATTGTAAAGAAGGGCAGGTCCGTCCTCTCATCAGGAGTTGCTGACTCACTCTCTGCAAACTTCATTTTGCAGCATCAGTTTCTTGCTGCATCATTTATTTTTTTTGCACTTAAATAAAAAAAGACTTCCCTTTCTCATCAGTTACACATTAAACTCACCCAGACCTTTACACCGTGACATACATGTTCTCTGAAACATGCTGTAAATTTTTATTTTGATGACAATTTGAATCATTTCTTATTTCCCCCCACCAGATCCATTTGTGTTTTTTGTTCCTGACTCATGTAACAGCGCTGCTGTTTTGCTGACTCATGTATTGCTCTCTGTGTCCCTTGTGTCGTCAGGTCCTGATGTGCAGTTTCTGCTTCCTGATTTTGTTCGTGGGGAATTTCTTCACAACTGTTGCAGTAGTTCGTCAGAAGCTTAAAAGCACGGATCAGAAACCAAAGAGCATGTGATTCATAAAAAAAATCATGTCTATTAAAAGCTACTGAACAGCTAATCTCAGAAATGTCTTTTGACATTTTTGTCATAAAAAAATCTGAGTTAATATTAATTATAGGCTCACCTTTGAACTCTTTCATGTATTAATAGAGTAAATCTTTAGACTTTATATAAATAAGTGTGAAAATTTAGATTAAACTAAACCTCTAATAAAGTTTTTAATTTTACAGATGTTGTTTTGTTGGATCCTTTTGTAAAATTTGGAAATTAGTCGATGATCAATATTAACTCTGATATTGGATCAAATACTTCTCAATAAAAATCACTAAATAGAGTTAAAGTGACTTTATTAGTGGTGTTGTGATATTTTACCAGCAGTTTAACCTGGTGAACAAAATCAAATTTAGACGTTAGACACATGTGATTAATTGTTCCTGATAAAAATTACCGAGGTTTTATAGAACGTATGAGACTCTCTGATAACCTTTGTCAAATGAAGGCGTAGAGTTGTTGGTCACAGGTTCACATGTTTTACCCGTACTCCACCAGAGCTGTATCACTTCTATCCCTAATGAAAGGTAATGATCTGATAATGGTGCACAAATAAAATACTTACCAGTAAAGCATTATCATAAATGAATGTTGTAGATTAGAACATTACGTGGTTTAAATTGGCATTTTGAGCTGATTGGTAAAAAGAGAGAAACAAAACTTTCAAATAATAAAAATGTAATGACAGATTTTTGTCAAATTAAACTGTTTACAGCTGATACTATTGTGCTGGCCCCGTTTCTGCCCTCTCTGCACTACAGACTTCTCCAACAGCCCTCCAGGCTGTCACAAGGTTTTCAGACTCTACCTGCTACCTACTCTAACTTAGTCCTAAAGATCTTCTTTGGTTCTGGGGTGGCATCAGGCATCTTCTATGGTGTGGTCTGCTGGAGCTGCGCCTTTTCTACAGCTGAGAGGAAGAGATCAGATAAGCTCATCAAGAAGGCCAGCTGCCCTCTCATAGAGGAACTATAATAATAATAATAATACATTTTATTTCAAGCGCCTTTCAAAGCTCTCAAGGTCACTGTACAAGACAAAATATTACAAGCAAGCAATACAAACAACAAGAAATAAATGCTAAGAGTAATTCCCAAAGGTAGAGTCGGAGCAGTGCAATGGATAATAGACTAAAAAGAGTAGATGGAAGGAGGACAGTTACAGTGAGTCAGCCAGGCGGAACATGTGAGTTTTGAGTTGAGACTTGAAGTTTGAGAAGGAGTTTATATTGCGGAGGTCAGGCGGTAGAGTGTTCCAGAGTTTTGGAGCTGAGTGGCTGAAAGCTCTGGCTCCCATAGTACTGAGACGAGTGCGAGGAACAGACAGGGAAGGTGAAGATGATGATTGGAGAGAGCGAGTGGGAGTGACAATGTGGAGGAGATTGGAAAGATATGTGGGAACGAGATTATGGATGGCTTTAAAGGCATGAAGTATCTTATAGTCAATTCTGTATTTGACAGGGAGCCAGTGAAGTTGTTGCAGGACAGGGGTAATGTGATCAAAAGTGGAGGTCTTGGTGATTATCCGGGCAGCTGAATTTTGGACTAACTGTAACTTGTTGAGTGATTTTGGAGGGAGACCAGAGAGGAGGGCATGACAGTAATCGATGCGACTGGTGACCATGCTGCCATGAAATTGTATCACCATGAAAAAATATCACACTGGGCCAAATGAACCATGAGTAAAATTAAATTAAAATAGTTTTTGGGGGTCCCTGTCAGCCATGGGGCCGTAATATTGTCTCTCCCTTTACAGCGGCCCTGACTCTTTGATCCAGTGCAGGAGGTGGGAGACAGAAGGACTCTAGCAAAGATAACATCATCGTTAGACAATATCTCCCATGCATGAAACTGTTGTGGAGCTGGAGAGCTCCTTCAGAGTAGGACTTCTGCATCCACTGGTGCATAAAGGAATGTCATCGTATTGGTCCTTCCTCCCAGTAGATGTAAAACCACCACAACTCCCACCAAATCCAGGGAACAGCCTTGCATCCATGCTGCTTTTTGTTTTTGCACAGTTTTTCTTGTTATTCTACACTCAGTTTTCTACTCATGTTCTCACTGGTAAATAATAAATAGTCTGCTGTATTTTACTACACAGTGTTTTTCAAATACTGATAAATGACATTTTAAAATACATTTTTTACATATATCTTAATTTTGTATTCACTGTTCAGTATTTTGTTCTTCTCGCAAATCTTTTCTCCTGTTACACCTAAATTCCCCTCCTGAGGGAAAAATAATATTCTATTCTATTCTATTCTATTCTATTCTATTTTAACACTAAGTACTCCCATATATGCAAATCTAATTCTGTATCATAAATTAACCTGGCAGGAAAAATGTTGTTCAGGTAAACACTGTTAAAGACATATTTCACATCTTCTGAAGTAGGTTTCTCTAGAAAGATTATGAACAGATGTTGTAGACAGCTGATTGGATGACCCTGGTTTTGAAAAACAGATCAAACCGATGAACTTTTTACAGCAAACAAATTGTCTAAATTTGACGTTTTATGGTTATTTTGACTGATTCATTATGAAACCCTTACCACAAGTGCTACAAAGCTAGCACCACAGCTGATTGCTGCTGCAAATAAACACATATTTCAGTGTAAATGGCAATATAACTGAAATGTGGTAAATTGGGGTATAAAAGTTATAAAATGGCCATATAATGTACATATACAGCTATGATTTTTTTTTACATCAAGCACTTAGGTAGGGGTCTAACTTCCGGCCCTTGAGATTTGGCTGTTAGATGAGACATCTACAACATGTTATTTGTTCACACTTTATAGAAATCCAGATAAAATCCACAATGAGTCTTTACACAATAGAATCAGTTGACAAAAATGACCTTGTTAGTCAAACAAGGTCATTGTCCTTTATTTGTCAAGGTTTTTAAAAGGTAAAATAAAATTTGACGACTTTTAGGCCCATGTATTTTTTTCTCAAAATGTTATGACTCCCATGTTTTAACACATTTGTACTTTGTTAAAAGCTCCTAAATCGTTTCAATCAAAGGACTGTAAACCAGCACGAGCTGATAGTGCAGACAGAAGAATCTTCGAGGTCCCGGGGCTACCAGTCACATGCCCTTGGTGCCGTGAACGTAAATACTCTTTAACTTGAGGAGGACACACGTCTGATGAATCTGCTCTCATTGCATAACCATGACCCTTCGCCTGCTGCACCTTGACGCTTGTTAGAGGCTGATTTAAACTGCGATCTGGACGGCTCTATCTTACTCAAACAAAACGCTAGTTTTTACAAGTATAAACGGATAATTCGTTATGTGTTTACGGTGTTTAAATTTTATTAGTGTTTATTACTAACTATTCCAAAAGTGAAAACATGACTGTGTAAAATCGATTTGCTCCGGGGAGTCCAGGAGTCCTTCCCTGGCCTCCCCTCTCTAACGGGGCGGAGTTGGTTTGGTCCTACTTGGCGTAAAAATTTCTTCCGCATTGAGCTCAGTCTGACACAAAGAGGAGAAGAGTAGGTAGGATTCATTCCTAACTCCACTTTAACCCGGGTTGGAGGCAGCTGTGGTCTGTGGCAGTCTCTGGGGATTGCTTCGCTGTGATAAAACCCTCTCCAGGCACCCAAATCACACAGGTAACGTCCTGCGTTTTAATAACATTAGCGTTAGACAAGTGTTACGCAAACTGCGGTTACTTTACGGCAGCTAGGGTCAGTTTGTGATGTTTAAACGGTCCTTTATGAAGCTTACTTTCGTGCCATGATGTAGACAGCAGAGCTATATATCTAAATGTACTTTTTAATTTTTCCCATTTCATGTTTTAATCCTGTGTAGTCACGTTTCAGAATGTAGTCATAGCCCACTGCCTCCGGGTTAGTCCAGTTTCAGGTGGCCTTTAACGTTAATTTGTTTACATTTGTGGACAAATGAAAGCGTCGTTAGAGAATATAAATTAGGAACCAATCTGGGGAATATTTGTTACATGTGGAGCTTCAGCAAACCCGGTGGAAACCGGTGCCTCAAACACTGACTATTGCATAATGTCCCCTACAGAGACAACGTTTTTTTCCTTAGTCTGCAGTTATGTACTCCTGCGGAAGTTTTTGTTATTGACTCATTATTATTAAGAAATAATTGTTAGCAGTAGTTGTTGAGGGGGAAAAAGCCGCATCACTGATGTTTCTCTGCTGACTCAATTCTGCAAACATTAATATTTGTTCTTATAACGCGTATTAATTCTAGAGTAACCCTACGTTTTTCATCTTTAGTCAAACTGACAGATTTCAGTTCTTGTAAGTAATACTTATGTGTTGCCATGATGGTTTAAACTTAGGAGGCTGATTTAGCTGATGTGCTAATTGGCCCTATAGGGATATTTCTAATCCTGACTGAAGTATGGATGGTTTCTAATTACCAGTCTGGTATTTTTGACTGTTATTTAAAACAAAAGATAAACATTTCTGCTTTTATGTTATGAATTTGAATAAATATATATCTGTAGAAAAGAAGAAACTAAATAAAATGAAAAAGAAATTGTAGCACTGTGTTCTTTTAAAAATAACACGTTGTCTCTTATCAGGTAACTGAATTATCAGTGTTTGCTGATAAAATAGGCAGAGTTCTCCTCACAAAGTGTAATTTAACTGCTGCATTACATAATTACAGGACACGTGAATGCATGAATTAATGTATCTGCAGAAAGTATGTGAAAGTTATTCACTAACTAGTTTAAACAAGAGAGATCACCACTTTGCAGTTCCCAAGCAGCCTTGTAATGTTTTGAAAGTGGTCGCTCTTAGGGTCTTTCAGAGATCCAGCTGTTGTCTGTTATGAAGGATCATTCATCTCTTGGATTCTCTGATTTCTTTCCTGTTTCTTCATGAATTAACTGTCAGATCCTGTTCATCTGCTGGATGCACTCATTTCTGCTTACTGTCTGGCCCAGATCTCCAGTAAGACCAGTTTAAAAGGTTACAAGAGATTCTGGCTGCTAGGAAATGTAGTTTGAAAAGGATGTGGCTCAAAATGTTTAGCCCTTTTATCTTTGTTTAATTAAACTTTCCTTAATAAATCAGACTGTTTGACAGGGAGCTCAAATGGAAGCTCATTTGTAAAATTTTCACAAAAATTATTTGCAGCTTTACCTACAAATGTGCCAAGAAGGAAATAGTTTTATCTTGCATTGCCTGCATGAAAACTCATGGGAAAATCTACTGGTTAATTATATAATCTGGGATTACAAGAGTATTACAAGTGTTTTCTGTCATGTTCCTCTTCCTCAAAGGACATAGAACAATCAGGCCTGACCTCTCTCCTTGCTGAAGCTGGCACACGGTTACTTATGAAGAGGTTTATTTACTCTCACAGTGACTCAGCAGTCCAATAGAGTGCAAGTAGACCCTCCCTCCCCACACACACACACACACACACACACACACACACACACACACACACACACACACACACACACACACACACACACACACACACATTTTTTCCTCCCCTGAGTTCTGAGCTGCTGTGTGAAATTCTCTTTGTAGTTCAGCCAAGTTGTGGGATTAAAAAACCTTTTCCAGATATTGTTATTCTGTTTTCAAACTGAAATTTGAGTGCGGAGAACACTTGGTCCGCTCCTGTCTGAGTGAGAAGAGTTGATGCACAAAGAATTCCTCACCCATTCATATCTGTGGAGTACAATGTAATGTTATGCTGCGCCAAATGTAAAGCCAATCGTTTAACGATGCTAGCACAAACACCTTCATTGTGTCGTGCGTCTTGTAACATATTGAAGACGTATGTTACCAATCATCTTCTGTGCTGCAGCAGCTGAACTGGTTTTTGAACAATATGCATTTATTTCATCAATAAAAATCTGAACATATTTAAAAATGCCAATAATGATGATTAAAAAACATGTTTTAAACAAATTTTAACCAGAGAATTTAGTGTGTTTATGCAGTTCATGTTTGAAAGTTAATTTTATTTTTTATTCCCCTCTTTTCAATGTAGTGTGCCAACATGGCCGACATGGACCCCGATGCCACCGCTCACACAGATGAAGAGGAGCCTCTCTTTAGCCACCTGGACCTCTTCCTCTTCTCCTTGATCATCGGCCTCGTCGTTTATTGGTTCATGTCTCGCAAGAAGCCGGAGCCCATCCCTGAGTTTAAGAAGCTTGACACACCGTAAGTTTTGATTTGGCTTTACAGGAAACTAATGGATCTCATCACAATTTCAATCACTAACATCCAGGAAATATTAAAACAAGATTAGGTTTTAATGCTGCCAAGTTTTCTACTTGGTCTGACGTGATGCCACCAGTTGATCTTTGTATAACCAGCGTCACTTTTATTACTGTCTATCCTTGTTCTGTAACATGCACATGTGACCTTTTACTAAGCAAATTTCTGTGCATGTGTGCACAAACAAGGTTTCACATGCATTATCAGCTGTTCCACATTTTCAGATGTTCTACATCCTAGTAGCAGTTGTCATTATTAAAACTCCATGTATATTGACAAACCTGCAGATATTTCGGATCCAGTACTTTTAAATTCAGATTACAAAGTGGTCTGACGGGTTTATAGTTGTCTGACTTGCATGAGAGGACAGATGTGAGATTATATCACCGCTTTCTTGGAAGTCATTTCTTGGTATTAGTTGTCTTTCTTTCTTTTGAACCCAAGAGTTGGATCTAAAATCACAAGTATTTCATGTTTATTTATTTTTTGTCATTAGCAGAAAACAAATAGAAAAAGCCCAGTCTGCATAATTTGTTAAAGTATCAACTATTAATAAATGAATGGTCCTAAACTTCATCAATGTGAATCTCGCTTAAACACGCTACAGGTATTTTGCCTCTAGATGTACTTTATCATTCATATTAGTGATTAGAAAAGAAAAACATAATCACAATTGAATGTTTTGATTATTGGGATTTCTGAGTAATTTATAATATACAAATTAAATGTGTGTCCAGTCTTTAGCTGAATCTTTAAATGTGTGGAACATTGAAAAACCATTTTTAATGATTATTCCGAATTAAAATCAGTCACTCTGAGTTTAACATGCAAGCTGAACATGAAAATAGTCTCCTACACCTATGCATTAGCTTCTGATAGATTGGACAGTAAAACTCTAGGATTTGAAAATCCTGGCAGATCTACTTCACTGTCACTTAACATTCATGGACTCACCCATCAAGACGGGGAAGGCTGCTGTTGTTTTAGTTTTAGTGTTTTGTTTTAGTGTCCAGGAAACAGCAGAGAACATCTTGGCTAGTAGAAGCTAACTGTTAGCATTATCAGCTCCACCACACAGCAGAGCTCCTCCAGGTTTGTGTTATTTGTGGAGATAAAACCTCAACGTTGCAAAGCAAACAGTCAGTGGTAGAGTCACGTAGCTGTTATCCAATCTGAGGCCAGATGTCCAAATATCAGGCAATAAGACTCGAATACGACTTACAAGGCATTAACCCCAAAATTCCAATATCTCAGCTCCGCTCCGCCCCCGCTTTCCACTGCCACGCGCTTCCGAACTCAAATTATACTGCTACCCGCTCTACAACAGCTCCGCCCCGGTGCGGAGACCGGAGGTGCGCAAACAGGGATGCGCGGGATTTTCGAGATCTTGCGATACAGTCCGAGCAATAAACGCGGAAGTTAGAGCCAAACACCCGTTGTGTGGGAGAAGCATCGACATGAACTGTTTAATCTGCCCATCATTTGTGTTGAGAGATCAGCAGTGTTTCAATCAACAAAGTGTGACTACTTTGATAGTAGAAACTGTATTTATGGCTTATTTTTGTGCATTTAAAGTTCAACCGTCATTGATGGTTGTTAAAAGTTGTTAAACCTGTGCATATGAAACAAAAAATGCTTTTTGTTTATCGATTTATTGTGAAATAACGGAAGTTGTGCTTGCTCCCTTTCTTGTTGGGTGGTTGTGATTTCTGTCCATTGACTGCGGAGGTGCTCTGGCGTCCGGCAAAAATAGAATCAATCCTATTTTTGCCGGATGGCGGAATGGCGGGCGGCGCACTGCACCGCACGGCCGCAGTAGTGGAACAGCTCTGATTGACTACAACGGGACTGTTTATACTGCGGAGTTCATGCCGGAGCGGAGGTAGTGGAATTTTGGGGAATTCCTACTAGAGACTACTGCAAAATGTATTTTAGTTAATCTAGAAGCTGCAGATTTTGCTGTTGATTGCAGGCATTTTTAGCAGCCAATATACCATACCATGTTATTTATAAAAGCTCTTTCAACATGGCATTACAACCAATCAAAGCTCTGTACAAAATAAAACAACAAAAGCATAAAATGGTTGAGTCATAAAATCAATTTAAAAATAATACAACAAAGAGCGGTTCCAAACAAAAACAATAAAACATATTAAAAGTAGTCAGACCACAGATTTGAGATGGGAAAACCACAGTGGAAGGGGGTATGACAAATTGTTGATGCTAAGAATCGAAGGTCTTGGAGAAGTCGTGCGTTTTCAGCCTCGATTTAAAAGATGGTAAGCGAGGGTGCTTGTCTAACAGGAAGGGGTAGTGAATTCCAAAGTTTTGGGACTCAGATACAACAAAACCCTTTCCCCGCAAGTCCTCAAACTAGCCTTAGGCACAGTGAGGAGGAGTTTTTCTGCAGACCTGAGCATGAGAGGGGTGGTAGAAATAGAGGAGTTCGCTTGGATAGGGAGGGTCCTGACTGTTCAAACATTTGAATGCAAGTAGTAGGATTCTGAAGTTAATCCTGAACTGAACGGGCAACCAATGCCGTGTTTTCAGAATGGGTGTGATGTGCTGTCTTCTGTCAGCTCCAGTCAGAAACCATGCTGCCGAATTCTGGACGAGCTGAAGTTTGGACAGAGCAGCTTTACTAATGCTGTATAAACAGGAGTTGGAGTAGTCTGGCCAGGATGTGATGAAGGCATGAATCACTGACTCTAGAAGACGGACTCTCAGGATGGGCTTTAATTTAGAAATTCGCCTAAGGTGGTAGAAACAGGACTTGATTGTGCTGCTGACCTGAGCGTCCATCTTCATAACCGGGTCCATTTTTACTCCCAGGTTTGAAGAAGAGGATGTTATATGAGGAGAGAGAGAGTGGAGGTCAGGTGACTGAGTCGCTGTAGCAGTGTCGGGGCTAAAAACAATGACCTCTGTTTTAGAGTCATTTAGATGGAGGAAATTTTCTGCCAACCATTCCTTCACATCATGGAGACAATCAAACAGAGGCTTGGTGGAGTCGATGGGTTTAACTGAAAAATGGTTTTGGCAGTCGTCCACTCATAGATGATATGAAACTGCATGCTTTCGAGAATATGTTTTTAACAGTAATTTTGGAACATCTTTGGGGATTCATTTATTGTTTTTAAGATATTTTCTGCCGAGAATAAATCTGTCCTTTAACAAGCATAGGGATCCTAAGTCACACCCATCTACATCCGGACCATGGTTCCCCAGAAGAACAAAGAAAGTGAATGCAAGTCAATGTGGCTATAAAGGCTGTTTTCTAATCTCAAAGTTTGTGAATTTTAAAGACACGTTCTGATGCCAATAAAGCGCTTATTTTCTAATGGGGACAAAAGTTATTTTAGGTTTTGATTGAAAATACGTCCAGGACTTCAAATGCGCATCACCACATTGACATCATAGAACCAGACATGGAGAAAAACGGAGGCAAAATGGCTGTAAGTTCAGCGAACTTCAAATCCTTCCCTCAATAGGAGAACCACCATAAATCTGGCCATGTGGTAAGTGGCCGCTAGTCTAGGGGAGAGGAGGTTATGTGGTGACGTCATCGTCTGATTTGTAGTCATGCTAATTACAGATTTTTGCAAACGGATAAATCTCAAAGTACGTGACTGGCGTGGTTGAAACACACTTCATCTTTTTTCATTTAAATTGAAGTACAACATCTCCCATCCAGGGCGTAAGAGAAAGCAGATTAGAAAATAACTCTTTTGTCCCCGTTGACTTGCATTCATTTATTTTTGTTCTTCCGGGACCCATGAGCTGATCGGAAAGGAAGGAGACTTGGGTCCAATCCCAATACTCGCACATACACCCTTGCGCCCTTCAATTGCGCAATCCCAACCAGGGGTGCGAGTGCGTAGGGTGTCTCGATTCTCGAATGCGGAAGTGCATCAAGCCCCTTTTTCACCCTTGATCTGCACTTCACCCAAGTCTGCAGCGATGCGGACTTCGGTGAAGGGTACTACCCACAATCCAATGCTGCGGGAGAAAAGGCTAGAGTCTTTTTTTGAAAATATGTACTTTCTAACGAAAATTGTTAATTTTAGGATGATAAGTTGATGCTCTGAAACTGTTAGACAAAATGGCAATGAATGTAAATTAATTTCAAATAAGTGTTTGTTTGAAAGTTGTTAATAAAGGTTTTTTAAAAGAGTATCACAGCAACCAGAATCCTGACAGACGTTGCGGATGACGCAATGCTCCCTGTCTCAATTCTGCAATTATTTGCACACTTGTGCACTACACTCAAAGCCTCACAGCGCACTTTCTCCAAGTGCATTTTGCCGCAGACCGAAGACTGCAAGTATTGAGATTGGGCCATAGACTCCCTCTGCTGTTAGTCCTTTTTGTATTGGTAGGAAGAGAGGTGTAACAATGAGGAACTCCACTAGTCATTGAGGAGAACGCTGAAGCGGAGACATTACTTGTTAATGGCCTCAGACACGTGGCAAAACGAGGTCATCCCTTGTGCTAACAGTAGTGAAAGTGCATGTGAGTGTGTGTTCTGACAGTCAGTACAGGCTGTCACTGTAAACCTCCGTCAGCATGTGTGTGAGGGTGCAGACCAGATGCCCCGAGTAAATGTTTCACTTACAGCGACCTTGGTTTTCTCTCTGTCTTACCTCGACCTCTTCTTTTTCACAACTTGGCTAATCTTTTTTTTTTTTTTTTTTTTTGTCCGGCTCATGTTTTCTTCCTCATCTAGTCCAACAGTGTGTCTGTCGTCTCGGTTAGCCTCCCCTATCCCCTCCCCAGTTAGCTCCCCTGATCACATAATGGAGGAGTGACGGAGGCTTGGCTTAATCACAATAACCTCTCCCCTGTTCTGGCCATCTTTAAGTCCCTCCCCTACTTTTATATAAGTTTTATTTTATACATATTTTTGATTCCTGGAACAAAAAACTCTGGTGTGGTTAAAAGACACGGCCCTGACCACTGCTGAGAACAGAATTTACTCAGAAAAGTAAAGAAAAATATCACAGTCTTAAAACGGGCACAAAATTACATCCATTTAAGGCTGGACCACAGAACTGAGCATGTTTTGGGTTGCTGATTGATGTTGTTTCCATCTGAGTTTATTATAATTGATCCTGATGAGTAAAGGTGCTCCGTTATTGCAGTGAGAATCATACCAGTGACCAGTTGTGGGACATAATAATCTGTTCTTTGTAGAAACTAGTCTAGTGTTTCTTGTCTTTAACTTTCCACTGAATCCAGGCAGCTGTTTCACATCTGGTGTTTATCATTATAAAGTCAGTTTGACGTCTTTAACCAGACCTGGTCTGGAGGTTGTGTGCCTGTGAAGAGAAGGGATGCAGTAAGGGAACGCTGAGGCGGTCTGCCCTCCCCTTAAAGAGGCAGTCCTTACCCAACTCTTATGGAGTTGGGGGGGGGGGGGGGGTTCCATTGCAGTTCTCTCCTTTGTTTTTTGTCCCTGAACCTATTTTGAAAGTTCTCCGGGGAACGAGCCAAGTTCCTTTGGCGAACACAAAGACTGAAAGTTGAGTCAAAAGACAAGCGGTCCATTCTTTACTTTTTCATTCTTCCTACCCCCCACTCCTGTTTTTTTCCTCCATGTCGGGGCTGAACTGCTCTGCCATTGAGCTGTGTCACAAATGGGATCCTTTTATGATAAATGAGGTTGCCATAGAAATAGCATTCCCCTCTCTCCTCCAGTGAAGCGGGGGCAGGGGTATACTTCAGGAAAAATTAAACATTCCCAGCTTGCTCCTGTAACCAGTGGTCCACAGAGGAGCAGCACTCATATCTAGTCAGACAATTTGGAACAAATCTTGTGTACTTTTTTTTCTTTTCTAACACCTTTCAGAGCGGAGCGGAAAAGGGGTGGAGATGAGAAGGAAGGCATTTCCAGCTCATGATCATTTCAGTGTGTGTTTGCGTGAGTCACAAATCGTGGGTCTGCAGCTCGACTACGTTTTATGGGAAAGTCAGTTTCCCACCATTGTGTTCCCTGTCAGACACTGGTACAGCTCGTCTGCGGTCGGGTTGTGTATGTGAGAGTTTGTGTGGAGATCAGAGATTGCTGGCTGAAGAGAGGAGGACAGGAAGAGGCCGAGCTCCCGCCGTGTCGGAGGTGAAGTTGGAGGCAGACTTTCCTGAAAGAACCCATCTGCCTGGCTGGAATGGTTCTTCTTCTCCGTCTTGTGGTTTTGGAGGGCTTGTTTGGATTGTGATTCTGGCGACTCCTGGCTCGGCCTTGACGGCAGCGCTAGTGGAAGTGTTGAGCTAAAAGCCTGCATGTCATGGGCTGTGTCTTCTCACTGCCAGAAGACAAGAGAGATGTTGCTGAGAGGTCAGTAAAGTGTCCCCGTGACCGTTTCAAACCAAGTTACGTATAAAACGAGTCTTAGAGGTTTTCATTCAGCTTACCCTACTGTTGTGTATATTTGTCTTTAGTAAATGTCCAGTTATAGTTTTTTGAGTCTGGACTGGCAAAACGATGGTGCAAGAGTCCTCCTTGCTCTCTAGGAGTTATACAAGAGATGAAGATGAAATCTGTTTGTCTGCTAATAAAATCTAAATGAGTTGTTCAGTTTTCTCCTGAGCTTGATCATCTACTGCTCCGGCCATCTGCCCATCTCAGTTCTTTCAACATTATTTACATAAAGTTGAGTTATAAAGACAAATCAGCTTAGACTAAGGGACTCTTATGATGTTTTTCATCTGAACTCTGGAGCATATTTTGGTTTGAGTGTGGTCCCCAGACAGCAGGAGATTTTCAATAATTACTGTTGTCTTCAGTTTAAATTCGTCAGCTCGGCTAACAAAACAGGAAGATTTCAAGCATGTGCACTTGCTACCCATACATTTGCCAGCTCTAATATAGTTGGACCAGAAAACTCAGCAATTAGTCCTCACCTGTGTTTATAATCTACAAGTAACTCAATCAGCTAATCTACAAATCCATCTCATTGGGGGCAAAAAACTCAAATGAAGGCAAAGTTGATCATTTTCTAAACTCAGCAAATGGTCAAAGGAATAAAATTATTTCACAGCCACAAAGTTGATCCAACTTTAATGCAAAAGTCTTCAGTGTTTTGTTTCGTCTGAAGCCGTTTCGAGGTATTTCCTTCTTTATAACAGGTTTAAATAAACTGAAGCATGCTTCTGTTGGGACACAAACCTTGTTGGAGTGTTAAACGTCTTAATTGGATAATAAAAATGGATTTATGAAAAATTAAAGAATATTCTGAAAACTATCATTTAAAGTAGAATGTGAAGCTGTATTTTGAGTATTTGAAGTTTTACTTAACCCTTGTAATCTGACTGCTGCTGGTTATTAAATGCTACACAAACCATTCCTGTTGTGCAACATTCAAATTTTATAACAACCCAGTTGCTGCTGAACATGTTGGGATGGGACATCTGCTGGTCTTATTTCACTTTCAGAGAAGATGTGTGGTGTTTCTGTATCTTGTCTGTTTCTTTAGTGACAATGACATTAACATAAATAACTCCCATCATGCATGAAACAACTGTCCCTGTTCTTTCATCAGTGGAGGCAGAAACCCAGGTGTCTGCTCAGAGCTTTGATGCTTGTTGAAGCAGCTTCATGAGTGTCAGTGATGAATGCACTCTCCCAGCAGAATTTCAGCACATGCAGGTTTCATCTGTTATATTCCTGGGATGATCTGAGTTTCATTTATTAAACAACTCTGGAGTAAAAGCCACAGGGATGTGATCACTCTTTCCTCATTAACATCAGGATTTGTTCACCCATCACTGTGATGTTGTACCTGCTTTTATCTCCACCTGTTTCCTACAGACTTCTTTTATCATCTTCATTTTTACAGCCTCACTCTAAACACTAAGTGCTCTTTTGTTCAAACCAATTCATTTCAAGTTTATTTATATAATAGCACAAATCGCGACAAGAGTCGTCTCAAGGCACTTCACATAGTAAACATTCCAATCCAGGTCAGTTCATTAAGCCAGTCAGAAGAAAGTTTCCTATATAAGGAACTCGTCAAATTGCATCAAGTCACTGACTAGTGTCAGTGACTTTACAGCAATCCTCGTACTAAGCAAGCATGCAGCGACAGTGGAGAGGAAAACTCCCTTTAACAGGAAGAAACCTCCAGAGAATCCTGGCTCAGTATAAGCAGCCATCTGCCTGAACCAGGTTTATTTTGTAAAAGGTAAACCTGTAGACCTGTTTGTTGTTCCAAACCAACAAACGCGTTGACCCCGTTCACCTTCGGGTCACGACTCAAACTCTGTGTAGGCTGTCTCAAATTGGTCACTAAATAATCCTGCAGGATGTTCCCTCACTCACTCCTTATCTTGAACACGTATTCCTCTCCAGGATCGTGGGGAGCTGGGGCCTATCTCTAGCAGGAGGCAGGGGACTCTGGACATGTCTTCAGTCCATCACAGGGACACGGAGACACTCACTCACTCACTCACTCACTCACTCACAGCCTTTAGGGTTTCCAGTCAGCCTGATATGCTTGGCTTTAGTCTGAGACCGGAGTAACCAGAGATAACCCACAAATGCATTAGGAGATCATGCCAACTCTGGGATTTGAACCTGCAACCTTCTTTCTGTGAGACAACAGAGTAGTACAACAACTGCACCACCATGCAGCCCTGTAGAATGATGTTTGTGTCTTAAGTGTGCTAACACTTTGCATAGATATCATAAAATAGCTGTTTTCAGTTTAAACTCTCAAAAGTCCAAATAAGTAAGAAACCCAACTAAAAGCATGTCCTCTTCCCCCCAGAGCCCCCTCCACACGAGAGACGAGTTTCATCGAGAAAATGAAGAAAACTGTGAGTGATCTTTAACAACAATGCTGTTTCCACAGTGATCTCATCATTCCAATCACTTGTGTTTGTAAAACTGACTTGGTCAGCTCAGGTTTTCCTTAATCTGTTGAACTTTAACTCCAGGGTTAAGCTCTCATTTCGAGGAAATGTGAGCCTATTTTATAGAGCTGTTTTCCTTCATTTGCCCACATTGTTCCTTTCACTGTGATTACACAGATTAACAGCTGTTGTACAGGTTTTTGAAGCTGGCAATTAAAAGTAAAACTAGAAAACGAAGAGCTGTGTTTTATAACATTTTGGTTTTTTTTTTAAATGGAGATGCTCTGGTTCTTAAGTGTTAATGTGTAGATTTAAATTATTCTTGTAAACTTGTGGTCAGGGTAAGAACATCATCGTATTCTACGGCTCCCAGACGGGAACAGCGGAGGAGTTTGCCAACAGGTTGGCCAAAGATGCACAGCGATACGGCATGAAAGGAATGGCTGCTGATCCAGAGGAGTACAGCATGGTATTTTACATCCATCCTGTACACTCTCTAGTTTAGTGTCAATCAAATAAAGGTTCACTTTATTCTCTCTGCTAGGATAAAAACACCATCCTGCTCATTTTCTTCTGATAGGGGGAACTGTCTCGTCTGTCTGAGATTCCAAATGCCCTCGCCATCTTTTGCATGGCTACATATGGCGAAGGAGACCCAACTGATAACGCCCAGGACTTCTACGACTGGCTGCAGGAGAATGATGACGAGGATCTCTCTGGGCTGAACTTCACCGTGAGTCTTTCTGATCCAGTTTCTGGGAACTTTTCATGGTGCAGCTTGGTGTGCACATCTCGGTTTTACTTCACTTAGTATTGCATTTTCTTTAGCTTGGCAAGCCATCTTATATATGCGAATATATAGTCTGGCCACAGCCCATAGACAGAGCTCAGTCATGGGGCGGATCTACGATTGTCTTTGTCTCCGCATGCTATTGGACAACAAAGAACATTGCATTCTCACCGCTATAGAAGTCAGTCAACTGGGCAATCTGCCATACACCGTCAAAGACGATGGCAAATACATCCTTTTTCTAACTAAACTTAAGTACTTTTATCTGCTCTTGACTCAAAGAGAAGCACAAGTCTAAATGGACCAAAATTGGCACCCATTCCATTTCAAATGAGGCTATCGCTATTTTGGTGGTTCAGCTCTGTTGCTTCATCCCGCCTATTAAAAATGACAGAGCGCTGTGATTGTCCAGCTACCAGACTGGTCAGGGCTGCGGACGTTCCAATGGAGCATGACTAGATCGACACGCAGAGCAAAATAATTTTGTTTTTGCTACTGTCTGTCTAGACAGTCGATTCTCTTGTTCGCTCTTCCTTCTTCCATCTCAGGAACATTGCTAAGCTGAGTCCCATTCGGTCCCGATCTGAACTTGAGACAGTTATCCACACCTTCATCTCCTCAAACTTAGACTACTGTAACTCTCTTTTCACGTGTCTGAGCAGAACCTCCCTGAACCGTCTACAGGTGGTTCAGAATGCCTGTGCTCGGCTTCTGACCAAGTCCTCCAAACACACCCACATCACCCCGCTTCTCCTCCAGCTTCACTGGCTGCCAGTCAACTTCAGGGTTCATTTCAAGATCCTGGTTCTGGTCTATAGGGCCTTACATGGACAAGCACCATCTTACATTGGTGATCTTCTCAGTCCCTATACCCCCAGCAGGTCCCTGAGGTCCAGTGACCAAAGCCTACTGGTTGTGCAGCACCAGGCTAAAGACCAAAGGTGACAGATCATTTGCTGCTGTGGCCCCCAGACTCTGGACCTCTCTCCCCCTGAGCCTGAGATCAGTGGACTCAGTGGTCTCCTTTAAAAAGCAGCTAAAGACTCGCCTGTTCAAGCTGCTTTGGTGTGACCTTCATCACCATCTTCTCCTTATTCTGCCTTTCCCTGGATCCATTGATTTCCCTCTTTCCTATTCATCTTCTCTCCCCCTTTCCTTATATATTTTTTATCACAATTTTTTTTCATTTAAAACTTATTTTTAATCATTTAAAAAAATCTTCTTTATACTTTAATTTTTTGTTTTTGTGAAACGCCTTGTCTTGTTTTTTTCTTGAGAGGCATAAAATAAAAGATGGTTTTCTTTCTTTCTTTAGAGTTCTAGGCTACAATTTTCTATCTGTTTGGGAATTTTTGAGTTTCAAATAATTCTCATCAGCTGCAAGTTTGAACCTCTTGAATCCACTTGTCAACAGCTGCAACAACTCAACATTTCTGCTTCGTGAAGCTCTTTCAGTGTTCGTAACATAACATCCAACCTGAGCAGATATTGTTTTCATTAGGCCGGAGTAAATATTCTTTCTTAGAGTAGATTTTGTTGTTCACTCTTGTTAAAGGATGAAATTGTGAGTGTTGAGGCTCATGAATCTAAATTCGATTTGGTCTCTGACATCATCACCGTGCCACACCGAGGATAGCTGTAGACCCACGCTTTAATGGTTTATGTTTCTCCAGGTTTTTGCTTTGGGCAATAAGACATACGAACACTACAACGCAATGGGAAAATACGTTGACAAAAGGCTGGAGGATCTGGGAGCCAAGCGCATCTTTGATCTGGGTTTAGGAGACGATGATGGCAAGTAAGTGGTCTAATAATCTGAGCTTAAAATCGAGTGAAAGGGCTGCAGCTCATAATGCGTCATTGAGTGATAAGCCGCTGAAATCGGAACAAGCAATCAAATAACCTGGAAATGTGTTTTAAGTTAATAACTGTTTACATTGTAAACATTGTTTTAATCTTGTGAATAACTCACTGCATAAATAAACCATAATCAGTTTCCAGTCATAAATCTGACCCATTTCACTCCTGAATTGCAAATATATATATATATATATATATATATATATATATATATATATATATATATATATATATATATATGTAATGTTCTTACAACCAGGCAGACATGATATGAAGAGCAATAACCTTGATGAACCAGCATGAAGCATATTTAGACCAACTGTAACTCGTACAGCTGCAGAAACCTGCCTCTGATCAGCAGACTGAAGTTGGATTCATGCTGTTACACTTCACCGTTTTAGTTGCAGTGTCTTATTAGGTGACCCAATTTTAAAGGAAACCGCCTTTATTTGAAGATCAAATTCTTAATTTTTGTTTTTCCAGCCTTGAAGAAGATTTCATTTCATGGAGAGAGCAGTTCTGGCCGGCAGTCTGCGAGCACTTTGGTGTGGAGGCGTCAGGAGATGAGTCCAGGTATGTTTTATTTTTGCTAGAGAAACAAATTCTACTTATTTAGTTTTCTTGTAACAATGCTGAAAGTGAGTGTCGTCTGCTCAGGTTCATTGCAACAAACTTTAAGTTTATTGTGTCCTGAGTCTAACTGAAACCTGTCATCTGCTGCAGCATTCGGCAGTATGAGCTGAAGGTTCACACTGATCTCAACATGAACAAAGTGTACACCGGGGAGATCGGCCGCCTGAAGAGCTTTGAGGTCCAGAAACCGTGAGTATCAGCACCTCTTTGAGTTCTGTAGGTCAGTCAGTGTCCAAGCTTCACCCCTGTTTGTGATTAGCTGGAAGGTTTACTAGAAGTCACAGAGAAATAAAACATTTAGCCCCCTAGTGGACACAGAAGTAAGTACATTTTATTTGTATAGCACTCAGCACAGAAAAATAATCTTAAGTGCTCCAGAGATAAAACAACTCATAATGTCATAAATCATAATAATCCAAAAAAAACAAAACAGCACATTTAAAATCAATTAAAATCTGTAAAAACTGTCATGGAGTTATAAAATTATTTTAAAGAGCAAGTCACCCCCCACCAGAGTCTTAACTCCACTCTCACTTCATGTTTGAAAAATGCAACAAATGTTGTTGCCTGGCAGACCGAGAGGGCGGAGCTGCTAACGAATACACACACACTCAGGCTCACGACAGCATTGTGACATCATAATGTACCAGTTTACATCATAGCATACCTCTTAGCCAATAGCGGTGGCAGATTTAAATTCAAATACAGTGCAGAGATTTTACCTGACAACGGCACAACACTGCCAGTTTTAGGCAGAATATTTAAATTTTAACTAAGATGCACTGAAGTGCCAAATTATTGACGACACGTGTCTGCAGCACGATTAGACACTCGTTTATTTGGTTTATCAGCGAAAAAAAGTTTACTTGGGGGTGACTTGCTCTTTAAATATAAAACAAATGAAAGACGAAATAAATTTGGGTTAAAAGAAGAAAACATAAAAGATTTAGGTAAAAGCAGTTTTAAATAGAAGGAGCTGCTTTTTGAATGTGTCCAGACTGTCAATACTACATGAGGATAATGGAGGATCATTCCAAAGCCGGGGTGCAAAAGTCTGGAAGGAGCCATCACTCGAATTTTATATCTGGTCTTTGGAACTTCTAGAAGGTTCTGGTGTGTGGACCTGAGAGCTCGGGTTGGAGCATAAGGCTTTAACAGTTCAGTAATATAGGGAGGAGCTTGACCATCAAACCAAGACGGCTCTGCCTTCACAGGGAGCATAAAGGAGAACATTTGGAAAGATCTATCAAACCAATACAGGTACAACTGATTATTTATCATAAATAAACCGACAGTTATAATGCAGGAGGTTGTGTGCTATTTTTTTGCCACCTATTGAACTACTCTGGGATTGATAAGGCATTGGATCGATAGACTGAATCCACAATGCCATTGATATTAATAAAAACGACATATCAATTCCCACCCCTACTGTTCAAATCAGCAGTCTTCTCCGTGATTGTGCAGCCTAGAGAACTAGAATGAGAGACCATCTAAGGGCTTCTGCAGGTGCTTTTCTAATCGGCTGATTAGAGTGTGGCACCAGGGATCTTCAATATTGAACCTTTTCACAACGCTCTAATATTCTAAGAGACTGAATTTGGGATTTTTGTTAGTTGCCAGTTATAATCATCAATATTTAAAGAAATAAACATTTGAAGTATATCAGTCTGTGTGTAATGGATGAATCTAATATACAAATTAGACTTTTTTTGTTAGAATTACTGAAATAAATCAACTTTGTCAGGATATTCAAATTTTATGACCAGCACCTATAGTAGAAACAAGAGTGGGCCCAAAACAGAGTCTTGGGATACCCCACAGAACAGATCGTTGGAATCTGACATGATTTGGTTTGTATAGACACTGTAACTTCTGTTATATAAAGGTAAGATCTAAATGAGTATAAAACAGTTGCAGAGATCCCTACATAGTCACAAATTCTGCTAAGGTGCTGTGATCAACAGTGTCAAAAGCTACAGAAAGGTCTAACAATACTAACACCGTAAACTCCCCGTTGTCTGCAGCTTGTTGAATACTTTTTACGAAAACCAGATTTGAATTGGATCAAAACTATTGTGTCGTTCCAGAAAAGTAATAAGTTGATCTAACACAACTTTTTCCAGAATTTTAGAGATAAAGGGCAATTTAGAAATGAGTCTGAAAAAATAAGACACATCTGTGCTTCCTTTTAACTTCTTGGAAATGTAATTTTGCTTTTTTTCAAATATTTTTGTAAACATTTCTTTTTGATTTTTCTCAACAGGCCCTTTGATTCTAAAAATCCTTTCCTGGCTACAGTCACAGTCAACCGCAGGCTCAACAAAGGTGGTGACAGACACCTTATGCACCTAGAGTTGGATATCACCGGCTCCAAGATCAGGTGGGGCTGGTTGGATCTGTGTTTAAGGTCCTTGGTGTCATGAGGCCAGAGGGATGAATCACGCTCCGTTATCTCACTGACTGCCAAAGTCTAAATCTGTCATGTTCTGTGGTTTCAGATACGAGTCTGGAGACCACGTTGCCGTTTTCCCTACAAATGACTCAGCTCTAGTGAACAAGCTGGGAGAAGTCCTTGGCGTGGACCTTGATGTGGTTATCTCTCTTAATAACCTTGATGGTATTTCACTGACAACACAGAGCACCTTGACCTCATGAAGCCCCACCTCCAACATTCTCACGAAACCCTCACTTCCTATCTGAAGCAGCAGTTGTAAAAGCACGAGTTAGATACTGTAACACCTCTACTGTTTATTACTCCTGATGATGGATTCATCTTAAAGTCCAAACCATGATGTCTGACAGTATAATTGATAAAGTCCCTGTTTTTGCAGAGGAGTCCAACAAGAAGCATCCTTTCCCCTGTCCCACCACCTACCGCACGGCTCTCACTCACTACCTGGACATCACTAACCCTCCTCGCACCAACGTGTTGTACGAGCTGGCTCAGTACGCGTCCGACCCAAAAGATCAGGAGAACATGAGGAAGATGGCATCGTCATCCCCTGAGGGGAAAGTAAGCACCAACATGGAACTCCAGGAGGATTTTGACACAAACACTTTAACTGGGTTCACTTTTAACTCGACTCCTGTTGGTTTACAGTCTCTCTACCAGAACTGGGTGTTGGACGCTTGTAGAAACATCCTCGCCATCTTGGAGGACATGCCCTCTCTAAAGCCTCCCATCGACCACCTATGTGAGCTGCTGCCTCGTCTCCAGGCTCGCTACTACTCCATCGCCTCCTCCTCTAAAGTAACAACCCTTTAAGGAATTCAGTCTGATGGATTAGTGGTGTTGTGTAATGAGCTCGCCGTAACTCTGGCCTGTCGTGCAGGTTCATCCCAACAGCATTCACATCTGCGCCGTGGTGGTGGAGTACCAGACCAAGACGGGCCGCGTCAATAAAGGAGTCGCAACCAACTGGCTGAAAAACAAACTCGTCAACGGCCACAAGTCGACCGTTCCCATGTACATCCGCAAGTCTCAGTTCCGCCTGCCGTTCAAGGCCTCAAACCCGGTGATCATGATCGGTCCTGGAACCGGAATCGCTCCCTTCATGGGCTTCATCCAGGAGAGGGGATGGCTCAAACAGCAAGGTGCCCTCAGATGCTTTGTGCCTGGACACGTTTAATTCTTAGTCCTGTGAACTTTGACACTGATGTGTACGTATGTTGGTGGCTGCTTTTCTTTCACAGGGAAGGAGGTTGGAGAGACAGTGATGTTTTTTGGCTGTAGACACAAGAACGAGGACTATATTTACCAGGAGGAGCTGGAGGACGCAGAGAAGAACAAAGTCTTAACGCAGCTCAATGTGGCTTTCTCCAGAGACCAGGATCACAAGGTAAAGGTCTCAATCTGAATGAATAAACTCATTGTTATAGCAATGCAACATTTTCGCTCTGAGGTGCATTTATTTTTCATTTTCTTAATGAAAAGCACAAGTTTCTGTCCTGAAGGATTTTCCTTGCCATGTTAACTCTTGAATAAAGTTCTTTTTTCTTTTCTGCTTTCCAAACTAAAGGTGTACGTGCAGCATCACCTGAAGAAAAGCAAGGAACCCATCTGGAAACTAATTCACTCAGAAAACGCTCACATCTACATCTGCGGGTAATTTTCTTATCAGAAATAAATTATTAAAACTGTCATTTATCTATAAGAACCTTCTTCAACGATTAATTACAAACGTTTGTCTTTGGGTTTGGGGCGCCACCTAGTGGAGGAGGAAACGAAGTTTAACTTTCAGCTTGAATTCGGTGTAATTTTGAAACATAATTTTATTTTAATGAATTTCCACATTAAATATGACTAAAGGTTCATTTCATTTTCTTTGTTAGTGATGCCAGAAATATGGCTAAAGATGTTCAGCTGGCTTTCTACGAGATTGCAGAGGAAGTTGGAGGCATGACACGCACCCAGGCCACAGACTACGTAAAGAAACTGATGACCAAGGGACGCTACTCGCAAGACGTGTGGAGTTAAATGGCCTTTTCACTACTTTACTGGTGGTTAGTTTTAAAGTTTGTCTTGTTACAAACTGAATTTAAACACGATAAACTCTTGTTTGTTCGCCCCTGATTCACAAGAGCTACACACAGGTAGCAGAGGATCATTTAAGCAAACCCTACCTCAGCAGGTTTTTAAGAGTCCCATTCAGAAAATTTCAAATCTGTTTTGTTTTTTTGTCCTTGTATGATTTGTGTCGTGCTCCTGAACCACCAGAGTCCCGTGGTCCTCGTTCTTAGCAACGCATTCTACTTTGATTCAAACATTAACTGGATGTTGGACTGCAGCTCTAAGAGTTTGCAGGTTTTAAAGTCAAATCCAAGTAGTTTTAAACTATTTTATGTATATATAAAAAACTAGCTTAAAAAATAAAGCAGCAGAAGATCCTATGTCTATTTCAGGTTTTATTTGTCATAATCAGACTGCCCTTTGAACACCACTACATGGCCTCGTTTCGTTTCAGTGGCATTGCGGAGGGTCGTGAGTTCCTGTTCCAGTGTGAACTAGAGGAGCTTCCACGGGAAAGCTGCTGACTTTAGTGTCCCTCTGAGCTCAAATGTACTTTAAAACATGTAGAATATATTTTTAAAAACTTCCTTGAAGAGTTTTTTGTAACTGGTTTTGTTTGCCTCCCAGGGAATTTTCTGAGTAGGTAGGAGAAAATCGTATGAGTAAACACAGACAGAAGGTTAAATCTGTTGGAGCCCTGTGGTGTTCGTCACATTTTAAAACATTTGAAATGACACTTCTGAAGCACAAAATGACTGCATCAAAGTATCTGACCGTAGAAGAATATAGATTCAGTTCTCTCATGAAGACCACATGTTCATGTTTTGTCTAATTGTACATGTGTACCTTAGGGTTTCCTTCCATCAGCCCGTCTGCTCTCCGTAGATTCATGAGAACTTTGGAGTGAGTTAACCAGCTGTGCCTTTTTAACTCTGCCTTATGTAAGAAGCCTCCAAACATGACAATACTTTGTAACTTCTGTTTTTATCTTCCATGTTTGCATTTTCATAGAAAATTAAATTCTTCCAAGACACTTTACCTGATGTTGTCACCTTTTTTGTTCAAGATGTAATGATTTGTATGAAGGTATGATTTTTGTAAATGAATAAAATTGGATGAATTTATTGGATCTGATATTTTTATAGAATATGAATGAGGGTTTTCAACCTTTAAGTGATTTAAAATTAAAATGGCCACAGCACAAAATATGTATAAAAATACAGATTCACTTGTGAACGTGTGGCAGAACCAGGAACCCTGAAGTTGGCTGGCAGCCAGTGAAGCTGGAGGAGAAGTGGGGTGATGTGTGTGTACTTTTGACTATTTGGTCAGAAGCCGAGCACAGGCACTCTGACCCACCTGTAGACAGTTCACGGAGGTTTTGCTCAGACAAGTGAAAAAAGAGTTCCAGTAGTCTTGAGTGTGAGGAGATGAAGGAGTGGATAACAGTCTCAAGTTCAGAGCGAGACAGAATGGAACTCATGTTCCTGAGATGGAAGAGCGGACAAGAGAACTGACACGAGAATCCAGGGTGAGAGCTGGGTCAAAGGTCACACCAAGATTTTTGGCAGAGGGTTTTTTGGTGTAAGAAGCAAGCTGACCAAGCGAATCCCCTGTAGGTACAATTGTAAAACGCAACAACTTTTGGAAAAATATGGTTAATTCAGTTTTTCTGTCAAATTATTTTTGCATTTCACTGCTTGAAACTTTAGTAATTTTGTTGTAAAATCCATTAGATTCACCAGCTATTTAGGATGTACTTCGGTTCAGTCTTGCACAAGTTTCTGAAGTGAGTTTTGCGAAATTACCACCTGTTACCGGTAGGGGGCGATAGCTGACTTTACCGCTCCATAAACAGAAGAAGAGAACCGAGCTGCTAAAGGGAAGTGCGGCAGCTGCAGCGCGTGTTCTGTTACCGTGATTTTCTCTGTTAAGAAGTATCACCGCCTGTGGTTTTCCATCTCCTTTGATAACTAAAATAAATTATTTTTGGTGTGTTGTATACGACATAGCGTAATGGCCACGGGTAAGTTACAATGTTTTTGTCCAATTGTTTTGTTGAATGATAAATAGGTCGAACATTGCCGCAAAGCGCTAGGCCTGAACGCTGGGGCCGTCTATATTATGGAACGTATTTGGTCGTTTGCTAACGATGACTGCATCAGATGAGGATATTATCCTATATGATTAATTCAAGATAGCAGTGTTTCTTGATCGTATAGTGATTCATTTATATAATGTGAGCTGTAACATTTCAGGGCCTTGTTGCGGATGCTCATCCTCTGCAGAGTTTTAGCTAACTAGATATGAACGTGTCTTTTGTTTCCACCAAAGCTGTTCCTCCTGCTGACGTAAAAAAACACTATAATGCAGCTTAATTTTAATATTAAATATATTTACAGTATATTCCAACCACGTTTATCGTTGCATGGTTAGGCACAATAACCAATTTTTAGTTTCCAGTTGGTAGTCTGCACCAGCGCTAATTCGAGCGCCATTTTGTTGTGATCCGCCTGGCGGTTGGCTCGTTTGTTTCTGGGCCTGGCCCGCTTCACTGTCCTATTTTTGATCCTTTTTCTGGTTACTCGGTCACCAACATCTGTTTAACACGCAGAAATCGCTCGTTAAGTCTAGATTTTTTTTCTAATATAACCCACTTTTTATTTCAGATTCCGGCTACGGTGGTGGCTCTCAAAGGTAAATTATTCAGACAAAGCGTTTAATATAAACACAGCATTTAAACATGTTATAATTTAAACTAATCATGTTATTTTTACGTTGTATAAATCTGTGTTTTTGCATTTGCAGCTATGGGTCATATGGAGGCGGAGGAGGAGCACCTCAGCAGGGGGGACAGGTGAGACATTTCCCCAAACATCTGTTTTATAAACAGCATGCATGACTGACATCTGATTTATTTTTATGACAGGCTTATGGACAAGGAAATACGAGTGGCCCTTATGGGGGACAGACCTACGGTGCTTATGGTCAGCAAGGTGGAGCTCAAGGTAGTATCTATATGTCTGTATATACATGTGTGCTGTTTTAAAGGATTAGGTGCTTGTGATGAAGCGTCTTGACTCATTATTTTTGCATCAATTGCTTGTTGTGACAGATGGTTATAGCCAGCCTCAGCAACAGAGTTATGGTAGCTACGGACAGGAAACAGCTGGGTAAGTTAATGTTGCATTTTGCGCAACTTATATTTGCGATCATTTATTTTAATAGGTTTTTTGTCTTATTTATATGCTTAATTGAAATTGTGTTACTGTCATTTTAAGGTACGGTGACAAAATGCCTTATGGGCAGCAAGGATCTGGTTCTTATGGGGGCCAGGCACCAGGAGGAGAAAGCTATGGTCAGCAAAGCTCCTACGGAGGACAAGCTGGAGGTGGATATGGTGCTAGCCAGGGACAAGGAGGCAGTGCTGCTCCTGGAGGTGGTGGTTATGGACAGCAAAGCTCCTATGGCAGTGGACAGGGCAGTGGTGGATATGGTGGTGGCCAGGGACAGGGAGGAGGAGGAGGAGGAGGCGGCAGCGGCGGCTATGGAAGATGGAGTGAAGGTATCTGAAAGCATTGTCAACCATAGTGACATACTTAAATTAAAATGTTAATTGAATTCTCTTTCATAACTGTTGCTGTTCCTGTGCACCAGGTGAAAGTGGAGGTCAGGGTGGACGTTATGGACGGGACAATGCAGACCGTTCAGATGGAGGTGGCTTCAGGGGGCGTGGCCGCGGCAGCTTTGATCGTGGCGGCTACGACCGCAGCAGTGGCTTTGACCGTGGCAGCAGGGGTGGACCGCCTGGTATGGGGTAAGTTGCACAGTGCCACTACCCCTAAGGTACATTTATATATTCAGATATCAGTTTGCTTTTTAACACACTGCCTGTTAAACACAAAGAATCCTCACGAATGGATTTCCTCCTACTCAGCAGCTTTGTGCTCCAGGTCCCTAAGCTGTGGTAATATGCATTCATTTTTCCATTGAAGCTGAATGTAAAAATGCTTTCACTTCTAATCAAAGGTAATATTATCCACTGATGTGTGGTTGACATCAGAATTGAGTTTTAATTCACGTTGCTGTCCAGAGGAAATCTTTGGTTGTTATAGGAGTGGTTGGGTAGCTTGTTTGTTTCCGTAAAGGTCACGAGGGTCTTAAACTGAAGAAGCAGACACTGATCCCATTGGGACAAAAGGAGACCAGACACCTGGATTTGCAGCAGGACTTTATGTCCAACTGACAGTTCTGATTCTTTTTGTTTTGGAAGTACACACAACACTAGAAGGTTGAAAGTCTTAGGATGATCAACCACTACCATTTCATGGTATGGCTCAACTCCATTTGTTCTACACTGCATTCAGCATTCACAAAGGAGACACACAATACATATGGTTTTTAGTTCTACATAAGATTTTAAAACGGCTAACTTACGGTTGTACGTGGACTTGCCAACGTGGTGGGGCATCGTGTTTAGGCGGTTCTAAAGTTTGCATCCTCTTGTCAACCCTTTTGGATTTCTGTAGTTTGTGATGTAGAAACGTTATCTGAGATGGTAAGAGTGCTTGGAGTTCAAACCCAAAAACCCTTGATGGAGTTGAGCTGTGCCTCGCTGTGATAGAAACTTTTGCATAACTAGTTTCCATGTTGCTCCTGTGACCTGCAGAAGAAGCTTCTTCTAACCAAATGACCTACGTAATGGTATTGGGTGGTGGTGGACAGCAACACCTGCTGGTAAAGTGGGCAGTCAGCTTCATTAAAACAAGGTGCTGCTGATGCAGCAGGTAATGAGAAGCACAGCTGGTGGTTCATAAAGTTTGTGAATACCTCCTTAAAATCTAAACACGCCCCCTGATTTGAAATATTTTTGTTCAGTGATGTTGATTTGAATTATTATGTTTACATTTAAGAGATGACACCATAACACAGAATATCCGCTTAAAACTCAAGGAAGACTTAAAGGTACCAGAAACATACCGTAAATCCTCTAATATTAGCCTGTATTTAATTAACTGCCGGGTATCATATTGTGGCCGGTGTCGGCGGAGGTGAATAATGGCCGTTTTTTTATTGTGGCCGGGTGGAATGTGGTAAGCAAGTACGGGGGGCGGTTGTGTCATCCGTCTCACTTTTGATTTGCCATTGATAGACCGCTAGGGTAACTTTAACCGTGCGGAGACGAAGAGGAGGCGAACATTTGATATCAAGTTCAAAGAGAACGTGCTGATTATGCTGCAGAACACTCTGGGGAGCAGTAGGGGTTGTATGAACTAGTCGACTTCACCGCTCTATAGTGACTTTTTATGCCTGTCATCGACTAGTCGCTGTCACGTGATAATGACTGGCAAGATGCAGTCCACAGAAAAGACAGCAGCCTGCTGTCAGCAGGTGACAAGCTCCTGCTCGTCGGGAGGCAACGCGCTGTGCCAGAGCGTCGGTACTGACACCCGCCGTAAAACGGACATTTAACCAAATTGTGACATTTACCCTCTTGCAATTTAACCTTCCCCTCACCCCCATTTTAACCTTAACCAGCTTGTGCATGCAAAGCTCTGATTGTTGACGCGCTCCAGACATCTGCGTCCTGAGCACGGCCACAGTAACATTATCAAATCAGGTGTCGCCACCTCAAAAACTAATTTAACACGCGATCGTTCATATCGGCTCATTTCCTTTTATGTTTTGTCTTTTATTCTTTTATTTGTGCCTGATGCGTTTTGCTGCCATGGATTGGGGCGCATCACCTGTTTTGTCCTCGGTGACGCACCTAACTGATGCGGCCGGGAGCACTCCGCTGTTTTTGCGGTCGGTAGATCTTTTAGAACTGCAGTTCAAAGGTAACTCATAAGGTGAATATATATGAAGCCAGGTAGCAGTTTTTCTTTAGGATTGAGAGGAGATGCAGGAAGATGATAAACAGGCAGGACAGAAAAATAGTCAAATAAAAACAAGTTAGTTTTTGTACCTGGTGGTTGCAACAAACAGACACCATTGAAGGTAATCAGAAGTGAGGAACAGAAAATGAAATAATTATTCTAATGTTTAGAGCAGCAGGAACTCCGAGAGGCTGCAGGCCCATCAGTGAGTTTGCGGCGGCTGCGCAGGGGGAGGGGGGAGAGGGCTGAAGCAGAAACTACCGTTGTTAAAAGAAATGTGTTTAACTTTGAAAATGTGGGCGCAATTTTGTCAAAAACTCCAGTGAACCATTAGTTCATTTTGCTCAAATAGAAACTGAGGCCTGCCTCTAATTCTGGTCCTCCTTCCAATAAAGGCCTGGAGCTTGGTGAGCTTGAGTCAAGTACAGGCCCGGGTCTGTATTAGAGGATTTACGGTAAAAGTCCTTTTACCAAGGAGCAGTTGTTTATTTCTGGAGTTTAACTTAAAGGTAATTAAATGTCAAATCTGAAAGGCTCCTTCGTTTTACAGGACAAATGTGTTCTTTAGCCACTTCACATTCTCTAATATTCATTCAGTTATTGTGTATTTAATTATGGTGAGCATGTTTACTGTCCTAACATGGATCTACATTTTATACTACAGGTGTTCAGAGTGAATGAACTAAAACTTGGACCTCGGTTAAAGGATCTTAAAAGCAATCTGTGGAAGATTGCTCACTGGTCGCTGCTCCTCTTTACACTAATTTGGCTCAGTGATTGAAATCAAATTAAACTGTTTTTCAGATTTTTGCATCCAATCTGGCTGTCTAAAAAAGACCAAATTTTAAGTGGTGTCTAAACTGACACATGACTGTCTTCACTCGTCTGCCTGAATGTTCAGTCAGAACTTCCTAGTCATCTTGTTTATTGATCTGTAATGCAAAAGACTAACTCATTCCTCGTGTGAGACATTTCCACCATAGTCGCACACCCTGGCAGGAATGCATACTGGTGTGGATGTAGGGGAGCTTTGAGCTCTCAGTTGGAACAAAGAAAAGCCATCATATCTCCAATTTTTCCTCTGCAGAGGTGGTGACCGTGGTGGCTACAAAAATTTTGGTGGTAAGTGACGAGCATCAGAACTGTGTCGGTGGGGGAGGAGGAAAAAAAACTTGAGTTAGCAGAACAGTGGGTTAAAGGAAAAACAAACAAAACAATGAATGAATGAATGAATGCCACCATTTCATTGTCCAAAATCCCAAGGAAATCCTCCTAATGCTACTTCTCATAAGTGACATCAGATATGGTAAAGATCTTGGAGTTGAGTTGTAAAATAATGGTATTATTGCATGAGGACAAGAGATAAGTGGTGAAAGGTGATCCCAGGACGAAGGAAGGACAACTTTCTTTAAAGACATCTTGGTGGTTTTTATTTCTGGTAAAAGCTCAAAAATGGACAAGAGCATTTCTGATCATGTTGCAAGGTATTGGTATGTGTTGCAACGGTACAAAACCTGTAAACATGGACTTTTATTAAAGTTAAACATTGGTAGGGCTGAGGTTGACTTATTGTGTGTAACTATTAAAAGCCTTAAGAACGTCTTTTTGATAAATGTTTCCTTCTATCCTCTTCTCTGTTACTCAGGCTCTCGAGACTACGGCTCACGGGATGACTCAGGTGGGACGATCACTGAGCACACCTGATTTATATTTGGTGTAACCGATCAGTGTTAGGTCAGCCCTAACAGCGTCTCTGTTATTGTCCACAGGTGGAGAGCAGGACAACTCGGACAACAACACTATTTTTGTTCAGGGGCTTGGAGAAGAGGCCACAGTCCAGGAAGTTGGAGACTACTTTAAACAAATTGGTATAATCAAGGTACGATACAACCAGTTTGAGCTAAGGGGGAAAAGAGGGAAGCATTATTAATGTTGACTTTTTTTTTGTTTGCTTGTTTGTTTGTTTTTAGGTCAACAAGAAGACCGGCCAACCAATGATTAATATCTACTCTGACAAGGCCACAGGCCGGCCAAAGGGAGAAGCTACAGTCTCGTTTGATGACCCTCCCTCTGCCAAGGCGGCTATTGACTGGTTTGATGGTAAAGACATCAGCGTTTCCCCCACTTCCTCTTAAATGATCTTTGTTTTTAATTTGCTGGTTTTTTATTTCAGGAAAGGAATTCAATGGCAAGCCAATCAAAGTCTCATTTGCCACCCGTAGAGCAGAGTTCACACAGAGAGGAGGTTTCAGAGGGGGACGAGGAGGTGCGTACAGATCTGGTTGTCCATGACCTGATGTCACATAAAAACGTTTAGTTCTGGTGTTTTTTCCTTGCTTTTCATCAGTAGTTTGGTTGGTTTCAGGTTTCAGGGGTCGTGGCGGTGGTGGTGGTGGGGGAGGACCCAACTTTGATGTTAAAGGAGGAGACTGGCCTTGTCCAAACAGGTTGGACATTCATTCTTCCTTAATTTTCAGATCTTGATATTTTTGTTGTCTAACTAGATTTGTAATCCTAATTTTCTCAGCTCTTGTGGCAACATGAACTTTGCACGTCGACAGGAGTGCAACAAGTGTGGAGCGCCCAAACCAGATGATGGTGGTTTTGGAGGTGGAGGTGAGTGCTTTGGTTTTAGTTATTTCTTCTTCTACACTTGAATCCAGTTTGTGCATGACTTTAATTCTGATGCAGCTTCTGACCCCCTTACTGATTGAATTGTTTGCAGATCGCGGAGGCAGAGGTGGCTTTGGAGGAGACCGAGGCGGTGGCTTCAGGGGCCGCGGAGGGTTCCGTGGTGGAGACCGTGGTGGCTTTGGAGGTGGTGACCGAGGTGGAGGATTTGGGGGTGGCTACAAAATGGGTGGAAGGTGCGTTATAAATTTTACTTTTAATTTGAAGAAGAAATAACTTTATTCCCCACCATTTCTTCAAATGTAGTTAGTTACTTGGCCAGAAGGGGGCACTGTTGGGTTGAGAAAAAATGTGAACCATCTTATTTCAATACATGCACTGTCTGTTCTACACAATATGTAAGCCTTAGAACGATACTTTTCTTAATTGTAAATGTATTTTCATCTAAATTAGCTTTAAGTTTTAAAGCTCCTTCTGTCTCAGAAAATGATGTAATGTCTGGTGTTAAACACCATCCTCCACAGGGAGGTGGGACATTGTCCTCTAAGAAATGCTAAGTTGACACGTTTAACCTTCATTAGTCTGACTGCTCAACGTCAGAAGTCAGTGGTCCTTCATAAATTACAGCCCATAAAATTTTTTGTACTTTCTCCTCAGAGGTGACCGTCGGGATGACAGAAGAGATCGGCCATACTAGACACCACGCGAAGACAAACCATTCCGGCCCTCTAGTTTGCCATTGGGGGGGGGGGGGGGGGGGTTGCTAGGGAAGAGAGAGATGTGTGAAATGTGACTTTTCTGTTTTTGTAGCCTGTCCATTCTGAGTGTTACTTTTCATCTGTAAGTGAGCGGTTATGGAGTTGATGTGAAGAGTCTTTGGGGACGGTGGGCACTGTCTGCATGTGGCGTTTATTTTTCTGTACATTTTTATTTTTCTGAGACTAGATGCATATGGTTTCAGGTAGACTTTTGAACCATTGTTTTTGTATGAGTGAAATAAAACATTTTACTTATTCTCCACGAGTTTTTCTTCCAAAACGTTGTCATGAATGAGAACTTGTTCAGATGTTGACAACAGTAACATTAAAAAAAGGACTTTGTGATCTGAAGCAGAAAGGAGGAACATTAAATAGAAAGCTGCTGGTATTTTTGCCTTGGAGCTCAAAGAGGGCGGTGCTGGCCTCCTCCTCCTGTCCCGGTCTCCTGGATAAGCTCCGTCAGTCCTGACCGGGATGAAGAGGAGTCGGCAGTGTGCTTCCTGCTGCTGACAGCCGGGATGTTTAACCATGAGGACCGGAGCGGCAGCTGAGCAGAAATGCGCGGTGTTCTCACGGTGTGTTCACCCCGTGGTGAGCCGCCGACCTCCGGGCGGAAGATGAGGCTCTGGGTCGTGGCTGTGACGGTGGTGCTGGCCGCCGTCCCGGCCCGGGGATCGCCGCTGGTCGTGGACCCGCAGGTGGGTTCACACTGAAGTGTCACAGTTTAGTGGATAAATGTAGGCGTTCATCCCAGAGGAGAAGATACTTGTTAAACTACATTTATCCCATAAAATTAAATGTGTCTAATTTAAAAGCATTTGTAATTTTGGGGGTTTAAAGTACGTAATAATCTAAATTAGTTAATGCGTCAGAATATAAAGACTGAAGTAATCCCGCCTTTGTCAGACAAACCAACAAGCACTGAAAAAACTCGAAGTAGACTAAAATAATAAAATCGGGCAAATACGTTTTTTGAAAAAATATTGAAACAGCTGGACGAAAATGACGCATACTCAAGAGATGGCCAAAGGGAAAGGTTAAACCAAGGTGTGTCCTGTAATTAGCTGCTGTTTATAGGGGGAATTGTGTCAGTGCTGTTGGGGATAAGGGTGTGTAGCACACTGATCATGGAGCAAAGAAAGCTGAGGACAGAAAGACAATTATTGACCATAATGTTAAAGGGTCTAACTTGTTAATTTGTAGAAATTTTTACTTTAGCCATCTCTGAGTCATTTTAGTGATGTATTTAAGTCTGTGTGTATTTTCACATTATCACTGTAGGAGCTGCACCACGTCAGACATGTTTACTCTTCATCATTTTCAGCATCTTTAATGAGGTGATGGAACATTTTTGTCCTGCTCCCATCTGTCATGTCACTGATTTAATTTTCCACCTGAACATCCCCACATCTGTAATCATTGTTGTGGCTGCAGCTGTCTGAACAGGAAACCTGCCACAAACACATAAAGCATATAAAATTACCACGTGTACCATCTGTTGTCTTTACCTTGTCTCATTCCTGCGACACTTCAGAGCTGCTCTTGGTGCTCACGTTTATGGGAAATTCCTTTTTAAATAACAGCTACGGATGTTAGGGACACCTCAGGGCTGTGTGTGTGGTCCACCTGATTGTACCCTCAAGACTTTTGGATGCAGAAAATAAATTAATGTATAACTATTGCAGGATTTCCTGGAGAAGTATGGGTACCTCCATCATGAGCACCAGATCCACAATTCTGTTGAGATACACTCGGCCATCAGGTGAGTGAGCCCTGATGTTACCAAGCAGTGCCTCTTTATTGGTCCTGCTGAATCAGAGGTTCTGATTGTGTTCTGGGCGTTCATCCAGCGGGAGGGTTGTGGTGGGCTCAGTGTGGGACAAGCCTCAGGGCTGAGCGCCAATACGAGCTGTAAAACACACCCTAGACTCTGCTCTGGAAACATCTCCTGAACCCTGTCTGAACCACCCAGGAATGTCCCATCTTCTGATTGCCCCATAAACTGGGACCTGGAAAGCTCAATCCTTTACCACTGGTTTCCATGTCAGATTGTATTTTTTAAAATGTATGTATATCCTTTTATAAAAAGCATAAACATAATTTCTGCCTCTCTGCAGAGAGTTCCAGTGGCTGTCCCGTCTACCCATCACAGGGGAACTGGACAGCGCCACCTTGCTGCAGATGGCTGAGCCCCGCTGTGGCGTGTCGGATGAGGGGAGCCAAAAGAACTGGGGACAGAGAGTAAATCTCATCTTTACTGGAAGGAGAAGACCGCAGCGCCGCAGGAGGCGCTCCGATGCACAAGGTATCACTCCTAGTCAGAAGCACCAGGAGATTCTAAGAAGTAAAAATCTTGCATTACGTTGGTATTTCACTCCTCTTCGTGGCGTTAAATCCACAAGGATCGCTTTTTAAATTACACATCACTTTTATTTACGTTCTGTGCAGCACCTGGGCTTGTTATGGAAACAGTGCTGCTCACCCTCTCCCCTGAGCTGAGAAATTCTGAAGGCCTTTTAAAGATCTTCAGCTCTGTTGCTGGTGTTTAAGTTCATGCAGTGATTTAAGTCATCAGAATGTTCCCATAAATGGCAGCATTCACCATCTGGTCCACCTCCACCTCTAACTGTGGTTATCGTGTTGTTGTTGCTCTTTTTTGCACTAATCCTCTAAATATTTCCACATTCCCACTGTGCTGTCAGTGGCTGTCACTTGGATTGTGTGGTCTCTCTCTCTCTCTCTCTCTCTCTCTCTCTCTCTCTTCCTGGAGTAAATGATTGATTACAACAATTTTCTGCTGTTCGCTTTAATTAAAAGTGTAGCTGAACTCTGCCAAAGTATTCACAGATTTTGAGAAAATTACTAAAGGGTGTGACTTTTTAACAGAGAAATCTTTGGAATATTCCTGTTTCTTGTGAAGCTGCAGGAAGTCATTTAATTTTTTTTTAAATTACCTCTATATGTGCGTAAGTGATGATCACCAGGTGACAGCACCAGGAGGAAACATTCTCCTCCTTCATCCCCGCCTGCTCTTGCCTCCAGCCTCGTGAAGTGCGAAGCCTCTACATTCCTTCACGTCACGGCCGACGCTGGCAAATGTTCGGGGAATGCAGTCAGTGCAGAGGTGGCTGATGTTTGCTGCTGCCTCTTCATGTCGGTACCTGACACGTTCCCTCTGGTGAACTCATCCACCGGCTGTCAGAGGCCTGGTGTTTTTCTGTCTGAATAGGTAGAGAACTTCCAGAAGGACTGCTCCTCTATTGAGTTCATCTCCTGTTTCAGTGGGAAAAAAGGCAGCTTTTTGTCATTATTTGAGTCTCTGGCATGTTTCATGTAACCAACAGCACGGTGACGCAAAGCAGAGCAGCTCCCTTTTTCTCACCTTCGGGGTAGAAACTGAATGTGTCCTCATTTATCCACACATCTGGTTAAATAATCCAACTGTGACTTTGCAAGGCCAATCCACCACCTTAAACTCGAACACGATGCTGCTTTTGTTCTTCAGAAATATGCGGCAGCTGGTGGCCTGAAGACATTTTTAAGAAACATCGGCTTCATGTTTAGAGAAAATATTTGGTAGAAAAGATTTAAAGTGAACTAAATGCCAGTAAAACATGAAGCCAGGACAGGATGGAGGCGAGTAACGTGTGTTTTCTGCAGGGACACGCTGAATGGTTACTGCCTACTGTCTGTATGTTTGTTTGTTAGCAACAAATCTAGGAACCTCTGGCTGGATTTAAATGAACCACACTGGAATTAATTGCTGCGTCTTCAACTGATTTAAAGCAGCAATAAGTAAGAATTTTACAGTGAAATATCACAAAACAGGCTAATGTATCAATCATGTTGGAAGGAAGGTTGTAATTCAACACTGGCTGGAAAAAACATCCGAATGGGACAACAAGTTTACCAGTAGGAATGACCCAGAAGTTGTTTCTTGCACCCTTAATACGAAGAAGGCTAGGCTAACATTCAGCTAATAATGCTAACGGTGAATTGGAAGCAAATAGTCTGCTTTAAAAAGATCTCAAGCTACTTTTTAAATTGCCATTGATTCAATATTACAGTGAAATGTATTTATCTACTTATCATCTGACTGTGTATGACTCGTCTTTGCTCATCATCTAGAATCTTCTAGTTCTGACCCATAACTGGCAACAGGCATGAAAATCCCAAACGTGAGGTGAGGAGTCACTCGTTTGTTTAGAAACATGGTCTGCAGTATCCAAGTTTGGCCACAGGGTGTCATTTGTATACTTCACACACCTTTCTTTTTTTTTAACGAACTGAATTCAAGATGGCCTCTCCAGCTAATTAGCCACAGAACACACAAAACATTGCTCCAACTCAGTCCGTTGTATAGATATTGAGCTAAAAGCTGATTTAGTGGTGGCTGAGAGTCATTCACGAACTCCAAGTGAAACAGATTGCACAAGTTCAAGCAATTTGTCGTGAGATTGCACAAAACGTTATTTTCAAGAAATGAATTAAATATAATTCCATCATTTCTCAAGCTAAAGTTATTTTATTGTGCAACTCTGGCATGAATGGTGGCAATCAATTTGCATTCTATCAGTTTAATAATAATAATAATATTTAATACAGAAATGTAGAGTTTTTGTCAGAGTGAACCAAATTTCTCACACCTTAAGACCCTCCCCCTACTTCAGTGATTTTGGACGCATCTTATTTGTGAAATCTCACCCAGCCGGTGAACAGATACAGTATTTTGTTTTACAGTAATTGTTTGAATGCTGTTAAGCATTCAAACTATTGTTTTCCTGTTTCTCTTTATTCTTCTTCTT